CTTGCTTAAGTGACTCTTCATACTATCAATGTCTTCAGCTTGTTTTGGGTCCTTAACTGTTTCAACTAGCATTGGCTCAAACATTTTGAGAACTTTATGAAGTTTAAGTGACACCCTGGTGATGGCTATCCCAACTGGAACAAGCTCAATAAGGTGCACGAGAGATGCTTTGCCTGTAGCTAACCTTACCAGATATGTTATGGATGAGGTCTGCAAGACCAGTCATGATGATACCAAACGCCGGAGAGTCTGAAACTAATGAGGACACTAACTGATTTACACAGGTGCTAAAGAAATCAATTGCTTCTTTCTCCAAAACTGGGGACATCATATCGGCTTCAATGTAATTAGCTGGAAGTCTCGAGACAAATTGTCTGTCAACAATAATCCCCAGTGGATTAGCTCCAGAAAAAGCCTCCATGAGAGATTTCTCTATACCACAGTCCTTTGTTACTGTCTCCGCAATCTTCTCCACAATTTTCTCCAGTGCCAAGTTCTCTAATTCTCCCAGTCCATACATCACACCCTGCTCTACCACCTCTTTACCCACAGCCTTGGCTGCATCCTTGAGTGTAAATTTCTCAGCTTGTTTCATTTCTTCCCTCTCTGCAACTTCTGGCAATTCTTTCATTCCCATCTCTTCTGCTTCTTTGTCTACCAGCTTTGTACTGGCCTTTTCAGTCTCTCTGGCAATTTCCACACCGTCTTTCGCAAGTTCTGCCCCTTTCTCAATGAACTTTCCTACACCAAAAGTTGCAATGGAGACAGCAATGCTCACAGCTTTCATGGTCGCCCACTGTGACCAGCTAAACTCCCCAGTAATCATTCCAATGGTGCCATCAATGCAGTCTGACACACCCTCGGCTATAAGTCCCATCCCAATTTCGGTTCCAGCCCCAAAAGTGACGGCAGTTACAACCACACCGGCTACAATCTCTACGAGACCAAGGACAAACACAGCAAATGCTCCCCAGCTAAACCGTGGCTTCTTCTTGACATCAAAGACCAATTCAAGACCAAGGTGGGAAAGATTGAGAAGTTCATCCTCAGTGATTTGATCTGGATTGGGTATCATTTCAAGAGAGTTTGTGGCAACGGCTTCAAAATCATCTCCTTTGTCTTTGAACTCCTTTATTTTTTCAAGTGTTTTACTAATTTTCTTATGCACAAAGTCTAGCACACTGAGTCTCACTTCCATTTGTGTCTGTAGGTCACTCTTTTCTCCGGCTTGTTTGACCTTCCCAGCACCCTTAGAGCTGATAAGCACCAACTGAGCTTCTTCAACAAACACTTGGAGCAGTTCCTGAGCCTTAGACATATCAGCTTGTATTCTATCAACCTCTTTGCTCTGTGTTTTAATGGAGCAATAAGCACGATTGTAGTATGCAAAAGCAGTGAATTTTGAGGCACGACTAAACATTAGCTCCATTTCAATAGCCCTGGTGTAGAACTCAATTGCTCTTTTTTCACCATACAACCCTGATTTGGCTAGCCTGTTCCCTAGTTCAACCAGATGGGTAAAATTGCAAAGGGTCTTATGTGATGGCATTTTTGGAAGTGCAAAGTATGCACTCCAATGATCATGACACTCATGCAATTCTTCTTTCAGTTCTTTCTCTTTGAGCTACATTATTGCTCCCTGTTTAGTCAGTAGCCACTGTCCCCAAGATTCATTAATACATTCTGCCAATACTGCTTTGTCTTTCCGGTTGGAATCATGTATATTATATTTCAGGTAGGAGCAGTGTATAGCAAACAGTTTCTCTCTGAGGATTACTACCTTAACATCACCCTGGATTGCATCCAAACACTCCCTCTCCTTTAGGACTCTTATTCTCCTAATGTGTGCTAGATCCAAACCTCGATATTCATTTGGAAGAGAAGACTCATGAAGTATGAGCTGAGCTGAACCTGGATTGCCGTTTCGTGCAGCACGGCCAAAAGCTTGTGACTCTACACGTGTGCTTGTAGGGAGGAACGTTAAAATGCAGAAGAGACCACCATGAGCTATGACTTCATCGGAAACCGTTATGTCTGTGCCACGACCAGCCAGGTTTGTAGCCACAATGATGTCGCCTGAAGACCTTACCCCTTCAATAGAGTTGGAATTTTCTGAGTTAAAGTAACAATAGACTTTACTTCGTATTTTATCACGAAGATAGTCATATATTTCCTTGCATGTGTGTATATCTTCGCAGAGAACAAGAGCAGCACGTTTGGAGTGTGGACTTGTCACTGCCACAACTGTGGACTGGATTTCATTCTTCCAATCTTCTCTGTTTCCTGATACTATCACTCCCTTCCTCTCGATAAATCTCCTTTCTTTGCAGGGAGGAATTTTACAGGTGCGCAGAGAATACCAGGCATTCAATGCATCCTGCTCACACTTGAGGCCAACAGTTCCTGAAAGACCGTACAGGGAATTGTATTGAGCAAAGAAATAAAGATGTGATATGAAGTTCGTGGTTATTGAAATCGGAGTCAATTTTAAGAGATGCTTCATTTCGAGCATTTGTTGTAGACCTCCACCCCATCGCTTGTTTGTTTCTATCAACCCACTCGCTTTAAAATCTATTGGGACAATTCTCGCATTCTTAACCATGTACTCTCTCTCTTCGGTCATAAGCAGAGCAGTGAAAGCACTTTGGATGTAGGTTGGCAGCTGATTAACCAGAAATTGCTGCAGAAACCCTGGGATGTCTACTGTTTCCTTTGGTTGAAGCTGGCACATTGTACCAGGTCCGTTAATGAGAAGCACAGGACCGGTTTTGTTAGTTTCATCACTGTCGAGCTTACTGGCCATTTGGATATCACCATCTTCAAAAGTGTAAATTATAAACTTATATGGAAGTGTTGCCTCGAGATACTTCATCAATTCCAAAATCTGTTCCTTACTTACATTTTGGAGTGCCATATTTTGCTTACTTCTGTGATCTTTAGCTAGGAAAAACTGCTTTATGTCATATTTGCTGATCAAGTCCAGCTTGCCAGCCAAAAACAGCATATGCTCAGACTGGAGGCAATGAAATAAGCACTCATGGAAAAATTTGCAGTCACCTAACCAAAACCTAGTGCCATTTTCAGTGCAGTATGATGTACTGGATGCTCCATCCACCCACTCATAAGGGTAGAGTGGTTGTAGTATTCCTTTGTCTCTTACAAGCACTGGAATGGAAGCATCATCCAGCACAACTTCCTTCACAGAACTTAGAAAAGAAGGTCCCCCAACCGCAAGTGTTTGGTTACTATCAAGAGTATAGGGTACTATTCGCAGGGGAAGTTCTTTATTTAATTCATAGATAAATGCAGTCAAATGTAAAGTTGTAAGGTTTTTCATAAGTTCGTTTTGTTCAGCTTTATCCCTGGCAAAAATGAATCGACTCACTTGACTGTCTGACAAGAGATTGTATTTCACTGCAAGATACAACATTTTCTCTGCGGATGAGAACTTCGGCTCATGTAATCTTAGCATACACCTAAAAATGACATCATGAAAAAAGTTTGTTTGCCCTTCATAGAACTCCTTCCCTTCCACAGTCTTTAATGTTTTCTCTGGATTCATGTTTCCTTTTAAAGGGAGGTCACACTGCACAGCCACCATCCGTAGTATGCCATTTGCAAGCTTACTCTGAGTGTATAGTGGACATGCAAGTCCTTCGTCTAGAATAAGGAGTGAGAATTCAGGTATTGTTCCTGATCTATCAAAGCTTTCGTCGCAATCTTGCCTCACTAATTCACCGGTGCTGTTGCTGATATACACTGCAATATTGCACGGAATGTATTCCATTTGTAGATATTTGACAAATTGTATCATTGAGGCCGTACGAAATTGACTCATTGCAGATTTTTTCATTACAGGAAAAACATTTTGAAGAATCGTATGAAGTACTGCTTTGTCTATGAAGTCCCCATTTGCTGCTGCTTGAAGTATCTTTCTTGAGTCGCAAATGCGACTCCTAAGCCCTGCTTTTAACCCTTCGAATATGACATCATGAATAAACTTAGGGATTCCAGCAAACAATGTTTTCCCTGAGGTGGTAATGAAGGGCGTGGTCTGACGAACATTTGACCAGACCAGTGCTAACACTGGCTCCACGTGATGCATGATTGCAGAGTGGTGTGACAGGTACGTAAACTGCATTCCCTTGTCTAACATAAGCATGTCCATTTCATCAACAATCGCTACGTCCATCTTCCTATACCCACGAACATTTCTCATTTCAAATTCTTGACGGAGAAGGTCACCTGAGAAGTCGTTCACAGTTCCATAGACAATGTCACTTCTGTAAATCGCAAGTCGCTCTTTGTCTGCTTCTGCTGGCCGCATGTCAAGTATCTCCTCAGTTTCCGTGTTGTGGGAAACTGTTAATCCTAGGAATTGATAAAATTTCTGGAAAATTTCCACATCTCTCTGGGCTAGGTCTGGTGTGCTTGTTAAGATATCGACTTTCTTATCCAGCAAGGCAAGTGCAGCAGCAAACATAGCTATGATAAGAGACTTACCCTCACCTGTAAGCACTTCAAGAAGTCGCTTGACCTTCTCTTGGTGAGAGACAAGGAGGATACAAACAGATACAAGTTGTGTTACAGTGGGTTTTTTTCCTATTATGAAACACACACTATGATAGACTATGCCAATTACTGCAGCATTCGCTTCAATCCTTTGTTCTAAATCAGACTCTTCATTCTCGAGAATGCGTACAGCATCATTTCCGGTTAGTGTCAAAGGGGTTTCAAGCACTTTTCTGACAATCTTTCCTGTGAGAAGAAGAGTGTTGTGGTCAAGTAGCTCAGACTTGGAGAGATTGTCCATAACTTCTTTAAGGCGTTTGCTGGTGTCCGAGTCGTACTTTCTCTCAAGGGTTTTAAGCAAATATTTAGGTTCCTGTTTCAGTTCAATATCACCAAATGGGATTTGGTATCTTTTAACTAACTGCAAGATCTCACCAAACGATTGAAGATCATGGGATATGGTGAAAAATAGTTTTAAAACTTCTTCAGAAGTCCAGGGTGAAGACACCAGGGTTTCTACAATCAGTGTTTGGAGCTCTTCGCTACACATAACTGTTGAACCACGTTTAAGAAACTCCCTGAGGCAGATATTAGTGGTAGCATAACAACCACCCAGATCACTAGCTCTGATCAAGTCGAAATAGAATTGGCTCACATCATTAAAGGATATCAATTTTGGCGAGCTAAAGACATTTTTGCACATTATGCCCATTGCTTTTGTAAGCTTGAAGAAATCAAAACTGCTGAGGCCACATCCTATGTAGTTTACCTCTTCAAGTAGAACCTCTATCTGACAATCATCAAGGTCGTAGGCAGCAGCGTAACACGAAATAAAACAGGCTTGATATGCACTCTGCAAATCTCCATCAGCGGTCACATACCCTGATGAATGTAGCTTAATAACCTCATCTAAAACAGAACTAAAAGATTTCCATGCACCACCATATTGAACTTCAACATGTTCTTCTTCGTCATCTTCGGAGCTTGAGTCACTACCTGAATTTGAATACGTTAATTCTTGCCTTGAAAGGGGAAGGACAGGCAACATAGAAAAAGATTCTGGGTCGCTTTCAGAGCTCACGCTGGGTGACAAACTATTTATACCACCAGTGAAAGAAGCAAGTTGGTAGTATGGCTCAGTGTGTGCTATAAATCCCCCGCGGAACTCATACATCCATTCTAGAAACTGCAATCGCTTACTTTTGCCGTTCAGAATCGAGGAATCAAACAAGCGCATTTGCAAAATCCATAATACCTCCAAGAAACAATCGGAACAGATGTATTGACTCTCACTAAGAAAACTCAGAAGACTTGAGCCAACCTTCTTGGTGTAGTAGTACACTTCTCCATCCTCACTGTGGTAAGTGGTCACAGTGACAGTTTCACCAGCCAGGTTCTTTTCTTCTGTCTGGTGGTTACTAGTTTTGAGAAGCTCCACCTTACATTTATAGCATGGCACTGTTTCATGTCTCACGAGACCAGTAATAATACCAGGGAGAAATACTCCTGCCGCTGCAGCACCAAGTGCAAACCACGCCATTGGGAACTGATGTAGCTAAGCTAATAAAGGAGTGAATTATTTGTTAAGACGATGACGAAGACTGTGTTATGCGGGCATTTAGTCACTTGAGTGAAGCAATCATCATCCTGAAGACAAAAAAAACCATGCTTAAAGGCAGATTTGAATTATTCACACTAAGATGCACCTGAGTGTTTGCTATGATCTTCAAGTGAAGGTGCATAGCTACCGAGACAGGCATGCAAATTTAAAGTACAACTAAAGTGCAAACCATCGGCGAACTGCGCATGCGCGGTACCGCTAATTGATGGGCTGGGCTGTGTTTACCCGTGGTCTCCCGCTAGTAGCTTGCGGAGAGTCTGACAGGGGCTAGCGATAGTAGTAGTAGGTAGCACGCGTGAGTCGATACACGCCCTTCGTTGTGACTTCTTGCGCCTTCAAGATACACAGAGCGAGCGGACCAGGTCGAGGTAAGCATATTGACTTTTTCGTTCGTGTTTCACGCCGTAACTCCCGAACGCAGCAGTTTCCTAGAACACCCCACAACCTTTATCCGACGCTGAATACGTGGTATTGTTTGTGGAGCGATCCATGGGCCTGGTTCTTGAAGTGAGATGTCGGGTAACAGACAGGACACACGACAACTAAACCCCTCGCTGAGGTTGTGCACGCGTCATCGCTTACGTCACGTGCGCCTTAGAGTTACGTACGTTCGCCCACGCAACCCAGTCAACCCGCTGAGTCAGCACTTTCTGCAAACCGGCACACTGGCGTTTGCAAGGCTACGAGTTTTCCCTGTGGTACACACTTCGACATATAAACAATCGAGAGATAGCAAGGTCTTGGCCCGCCTGAACACCAGCTAGAGTGACTTCCTTTCGCAGCTACGATACTTGATTACATTATAACCGCAAGCGCGGACAGCTTTATTGTGCGCGCCGAGGGCTGACCTAGGCTGATGACGGATGGGTCAGCATAATTATGCCAGCGGTATAGGGAATGAATCTCATTATTAGTTCAGAACCACACGGCGTTACTGCTGCTGCTCAGGACTCGACCGCTTTTTCTCCAGCATCACGTGTGCATGCAAGCGGGAGCACTCGCGCAGACAAGTTTCTTCGTTGACCCGGACGTCGTCTAGTATCGGTGAGTGCACGGCACAACTTTTAGCGCGTCGATTATCTTCCGGCTGAACATCATTGATCGCTCTGTTGCGCGACAGTCGGTCAACGTTGCAGCGCAGGCCCAGCCCACCAAAGTCTGCTTTACACTGATTGATTGGAGATGTGCATGCAAGCGGGTGAGCGCTCGCGGAGACAAGTTTCTTCGTTGAACCGGAGGTTGTCTAGTATCGTGAGTGCTCGGCACAACTTTAGCGCGTCGATTATCTTCCAGCTGAACGTCATTGATCGCTCTGTTGCGCGGCAGTCGGTCAACGAGTCGGTCAACCAAAGTCTGCTTGACACTGATTGCCCGCTCTGCGATTTGATTGGAGATCTCGAAATCCACGAAGATAGGTGTATTTTTCAGTAATGCGAGAATCACTGGCCGGAAGTGAATGCGATGAAATTTTTTCCATGTCAAAAGTGCAAACCTGATATTATTGCGGCAAATCGACAGGAAAAAGCTATACAGCGGAACGGTGATTGACCTACAGCGGAACGCTGATCGATGTGCAGTGTGAGAGCACTGATGGTCGTGCAGGAGAGCAATGGTTGACGTGTAAGAGAACATGCGCAGAGAAGCGCCAGAGCGGAACGCTGATCGACACACAGTGACTCTTGACGTCCAGTACAACGGGGAAATTTCGCTGAGATATGAACAATGATTCCCATTTGGCGTGTCTACCGCGGTCGCGCGGGGTCGCTGTCACCGACCGCGGCCGCGCCCCTCTACGCTTGCGCCCACAGTGGAGCGAGTCGACGTGACAACAAAACAAAGCCGTGTCGCTGGACCGCACTCGTCCGCCCAAACAAGCGTAGCTTTTGCTGAAAGCGTGAGGTAGTGTGTCTGTTTCACATGCTCACCGTTTTATCAAGCACATAAAGATGGAACCGCGACGGTAGCTCTTCATTCGGGATACGTCATGGCGCAAACCTGAAATCTTGCGCGTAGCCACCGACGATCCGACGTCGTCATTCGCGGGCTTCTGCTCCCCAATTATCATAAAAAGCACTTGTGAAACAGGAGTGGACCCGTGTCGCCAATATAAGTATCGGGTGCACTGACGTTACTAGGAACCGGACACGTCATAACGGCCCTTGCCGAAGTACAACGGTGCGCACACACGGACGGAATATATTATAACACCAAACACTTTTCACGGTAAAGGGTCTTGAGTCTATTTGACGCGTATATATTTTGAGCGGAATGTACTCTGGATATTGGCATAAAAACACTTATAATTATCATACTGAAGTTACTCACCACAAAAGCAGTAGCCAGAGTTCTCTCCTTCAGTAACTTCACAAGGTAGCACAGCTCTTTTATACTGTACGAACGAATCTATCACCTATGAATCTTATTAAAATTCTTTGCCCACTAAACCGTAGTGAGCTACATAATAGCCATATAAATATGTTCACGAGATAATATTCACAACATTTTTGTGATGCGCTAATAAACCATGCTACAAACACCAGTGTCAGTTGCAATACTCGCACATCCCTTCTCCTCCTCTTATTTTCTGGAAATGCAGTGTAAAATGAGCCACAATTTTCTTGTGCCCTGCAATGTCAACACTGTGATTGCTTATTTGGAGTTGGTCATCTTTACTTGTTTATAATTACCTTGGTCTGTTCAAGTGACAGATTTCTGTGCCACACTGAACTGAGGTTGGGGTTTGCCTTGCTATAGTTGAGTACGAGCAGTGAAGGAAAACTATGGAATGAATTCTCAAGGGAGTATAGAAGGACAGCTTAGAGTGGTGTCTAGCATTGTACTAGCATCAGACATCTGTTCTATGCACTAGCATAAAAGAGTGCGTGTGTGGGCATACCAAGCACACCTGCATAATTGTTCACAGTGACGGAAAAGGGAAAAATGTGTATACACTGAGAATGGGCATAAGGGGCAACAACTTCACCTACCCAGCTCTATAACAGTGTGTTTCCTGCATCACTGGTATAATACACGTCTTTTGAGTTACTTCATGCTTCCAATGTGCATTTAACGGGCAACACAGATTGAGGATGATGCACTTTCTGCCTATGTTACTCATTACTGAAGACAAGGGCCCATGCATTAGCTATATTATTTTGCTGCTTGCAAACCTGAAGGATCGACAGACAAGTAATCGCAGCCACCTGTTACTCAAACACTAGTCTGACTCTTCTCTGTGTGTTATGATCTATATTATACTGTTGGAAGTTTTATGGACCTAGTATCTTTGATATACAACGACTAAAACAGAGTTGCCAGAATTCAGGTGTAAACGTGGGAGTGTCATACCATATGACAACACTGCGGATTTGTCATTGTCTCAGGGGAAGGTCAGTGTGTGTTTGAGGTGTTCACTCTACCAACAAGCACGCGTTTCAGGGTTAATATATTCACCAAATGACGAATCCGACTATCTGAAGCCCCCAGAGTTGCGGTCTGCGTGCTCTGATACTCACGTATAACTTTCCACAAACCAACATGTCTCGTGCACTCACCATTGCAGGACACAGCCATAAAGCACAGTATTCAATTTGATACACTTACAATTAATAATAGTTTATGAGCGCCAACATAAACAGATGAGCGCAATAAAAAGAATGAAAATACAGGAAATAAGAGCCACAATAAATCCTCCAACCACAAAGAACCATACTTTTCCAACATCAGATTCAGTCAGTGATGAATGGACACTCGTAAATCTATCATAGTTGCTGTCACCAACTTTGACCACCACACAAAACACACCGATGTAATGGTGCAGTGATCCCACGGAAATCTTGCAAACTTCACTACGATTGTTAATGCTACATTTCTCGTGCAAATATGAGGTATCAATGACCTTGATGTGGTTGTTTTGTGAATACCAAAAGCTTATATTTGAAGATGGAACTTCGACTCTTGATGGAACAAAAAGAACGATAGAATAGGGCCCCCTCTTTGTGATCGTGTGGGTAATTGTGCTATAGCATTGGTTGTTTGGTTGAAGGTTGCGGTCATATGTCAGAGCTATATCACGATGAAGAGAGTTGGGATATGTATCTGGATCAAAGTGAAGATTCTCATCAAGATCCTCCGCTACATATAGATCAATGTGGTATTCGGTTCCATTCAACTGGTTAGTCACTGCGCAGATAGTGTAGTTCAGTACCGATTCGGGCATTAGGTAACCACGGAAGATGACAGTCTGCTGCTCAAGTTGCACGGATACATTCGTTACTGGATCAGGTTTGCTGTTGTGGGTAGGCAAACTGCCACAGCCTCTACTAAAAGAGTATATCGTAAGAGGGATGTATACCTCATCGGTCCCTGGATCTTGAGAGAGTGTGATGTGCTGGGCTGTAAATTTCTGGACGTTTCCCAGGGCAACTATTGTGTTGTCGTACAATTTTGTATGGGAAGGTATGCTTCCATATTCGATGGATGCTAGCACAATCATAGACACGCCTGCACCAGCAGTTAGTAAAAATCCCAGTGTGAATACTGTCACTAACCAGTATCTCCACCTTCTGCACACACCTGTGTACAACAGCAGAGTCTAAGGGACTAATAACCCTTGGCATGCACGGGCAGTGAAATTCATGGTACTGTACTTGATCTTTGAGTGTGTGTGTGTCCAGGCAGTGAAATTCATGGTCCTTGATCTTTGAGTATGTGTGTCCGTCCACCCGTAAGGTGGGCAAAAAACAATGCCAATGTAGGTTCACTGCTACACTGGTTTAATATTAAACCTGATGATTCTGTTAAAAATTCTGCATTAAAACATTATTTCCGCAAAAGCAAGTAAACAAGCACTAGAGCTTACCTCGACCAGATTGTGCCTGTTTCGTGGACAACTGATGCACCATAAATCATCAAAGGTGATATTTGGATCCTTCATTACATACACTGCCTCCTATATACTGTGGTAAGTAACTGGACCATGTTGCACGGTCTATCACGAATGGTACGTCTTTGCATGAATGTTTCACAGCACGCAATATTATTTTGTGCATGTGCACGTGATTTCATGCGCACTGTGCTGAGCTGAGGCTACAGCATGCAGCATACTTGTAAAGTGATTGGTACCTGGTTGGTGCTCAGGAGATGGTGTATTCCTGGGTGGAGGATGAGTGATGACATTTTCGCCTATCAATGCTGTTTCCTCAGTTGCCCCTTCTAAGAAAATAATAGAACCTCAAACTCTCAAAGACACATGAAGCTTCTAATGCAAACGGAATCTGAGATTATACACCACTTGTAAAATACCCACTTGGTAGCTACTAAACATCACTTCATATTTACTGGTTGAACAAGTTACCTTCTTGGTGATTAATGAATGGTTCTTGTTCACCCAATACATTATAACCAGGGTAGTCTGGATGGAAAAAAACAATCGTGCAGCTTATTTATAGCAATTAGCCAAAGCATAACTAAATCGCCAAAATCAGTTGATACCTCACCTGTTTCAGGAAGATATCTAGGAGAGTATGGTCGAGCAGGGCCTGAAATGTGGAGGATATGTATTCATTGAGCATGTAGCAATATAATACACTCACTATTTGTCCTGAGGCTGGAAATTCCTGAAGGACGAATAAAAGCACTAATAGTATTCTGAACGTTTGAATAGGAGGGTACCATTAAAAAAATCAACTTCTAACAGAAGGTACAACAACTTTGCAGTCGTTTTGAAGTTGTTATAACAATAATATAAGGTTGCGGTTCACCCTTGACTTAGAGTAGCTATAATAATTCCATGACCACAAGTATTTGCTTACGCAGCTCCCGCGTTGCAATGTGTGCTGCTTTATGCAACATGAGCGTTTGGAGTATGCGTGCGCGAATAACCCCGCTGCTAGTGCTGTTGGCGCTGAATGACCAAAGGTTATGAAAGAGACTCAGTAGACGACAGAACACTATTAGTACGACACGCTCACTGGTGAAAACGTTTACTAAATCTCGTAGTAACAGGCATTGGAGTATGATAAGTCCCCGCGGATCCGTTTTCCCATGCCCATGTATGCAAAAAAAACAGTGTGTGCAATTGGAGTATGTAGGCATCCCGTCCGTTGAAATCATGGTTTGTCATTCATCCAAATCTCAATTTCACCCCCTTTGAATGTGTATATACCTGACATAGTGGATCCATTTGAAGATGGTGCTAATGCTGCATTACAGAGAAAAAAGTTTCCATATTTGTAATAATTATTGGTGAGCAAGTAAGGAGTTTTAAAAAAAATTCAACTGACACTGTCAGAAGGGAAAATTCACAGTCATAAACATCAGGCATGGTGTCTTAAATAAGTTAAAACACCTTTGGGACATCGAACTGTCCTTTATTCAGAGGGGCCCCTTTTTGAAAAAGGTATGATACACTTAGTATGTTTTAGTACGGGCTGTAGTGTCTTGTCCTTATTTGGAGGTTTTACTGTAGATTTTTGCCACGTGATTAGTTTGCCTGTCAATGCAATGTGTTCTGTTTTTACGTTAGTGCAGTGCATAATCATACAAAAAAACGAAGTATATTATAGTAAATAGGCTTAGAGCAATTAGCGTCATAATAGGCACCACGGTTGATATTATACATCACTGAGCTTGACTAACAGTGTCGGTCCTTAACTAGCGGGGCTGCAAAAAGCTCGGTATAAGTTTTTATTAAGCAAGTTGAGCCAAATTAGCCTATATCTGTGAAATACCACAATTGACTGAGAGTATGGATTAGGAATAAGGTAATGGTGCATAGTTAATTAGACAAAATAAAAATAATGGCCTAAGGCCTAGTGGTAAACTCACAGACGTTATCCGGTCTGGGGGCTGGTGTTAGCTTCTCTATGTCAATGTCGTCCATTCCGAACTGAGACCGAAAATGGCTGAGAATGACCAAGCCAGGTGTGGCACCAACTTGGTCAAGAGCAAGCGCTAGCTGATCCTGGTTTTCTTTCGATATAACCTTTCGCTTCAGCATGGCCAGAAACACTTCTGCTACCGTCTCTTTGTTTTTAGCACGAACTGCTAGAACATATCGGCAGACAAACTTTTTGAAACGATCAGAAACATTGCGATCTTCCCCAAGGCTAACACATATCTCTACAAGGCATTGGTGGAAAGCGAACTCCATTTGAGTTGGAGTTTTAGCTTTTTCTTTGTACACGTCAGTAGGGGGTGGGGAAATACGGGTTATTGTTTGAAACTGCTTGTTGCAGTGCTTTCCTCGTCTCCCTAATCTCTGCAGGGCATACATGAACCGCGCCAGTGCCTGAGCGTCTGTAGAACTCCTTTGCTGCAACAGGACATAAAACTCGGAGGGCACTTTACAGTTCTCAGCTACTGTCTCGCCTATCTCAGACCTTGCACCAAGAGTGAGCAGGTGCTTACTGGTGACCTTATTCAGATTATCGTCGACGTAATGGAGCCATCTCAGGATCTTATCATACCCATATTCAGATACTAGAGATGCAGAACTGGACTGCGAGACAAGGCTTTGGGAGGAGGACTTAGGATGGGGGAAATCCTCTTGTTCTTGCTCATATCTGCTGCCACCTGAGTAAACAAGGTATATACAACTTCATCAAAACGGATGTGGTCAGTGTGGGCGACTGTGCAATGAGGCAGGGAACAGCCTACTGAGGACAAGCGCGTAGCCACGCAAAATACGCGAAGCGTATAGCTACACACGATGCCATGGAGAGGAGAAAGCAAACTAGCTGTATCTATATAGCGACAAGCGATCGTTGCCCTGATTCAGGTATATACACAGTCGTCAGGCAAAGACAAAGCGTACGCGATGGGGAGAAAGCAACTAGACGCTCGCGCAGCGCCTCTCACCCTCGTCATTTTGTTCTGTCCCAGCAACCCCAGCTGCAGAAGAGGTCGCCATTATCTGTGTCCTTCAGTCCCTCCAGCACACTTTCCTCGGAACCCAGGCCGTCGTTCCCTACGCATGAGCATGCGCGGAAGTGTGGACGCGGATCTCCGCGATCCGCGAAGATGCACCGACTGCGATGAAGGGCTCGACTCAAGCCTGTCTATGTATCAGTGGGACTTTGGCAGGGGCGTTGGCAGGGGCGTAGCCAGGACTCATGTGTGTGTGGGGGTTCCCGCCAGCATTGCGCATGTGCGCGCTTGCGTGTATAATTGTGGTCTAGCCCCCTAAGCCTGGAGCATCTAACTCCTCCTATGTTTGTGTGTGTGTATGTACGTGTGTATTTCATGTGGATTGTGTATGGTTTTCTTGTTTTGTTTTGTATTATACGTGCGCTTGCGTGTACGCGCGCTTGCGCACGCACAGGTGTGGATCGAGAACGTTCTTCGGCGTAGCCGCCGCCGGTGGTTACGGGTACTCGGGCCGAAGGTCCGGGTTCGGGCGACATAGCGCGCTGCGTCGACTGATCGTCATGTACTTTCTCGTTGCTGCCACTGGAGCTACTGTACCTCTCTCTTTGTCTACTCTGATCACTGGCAGTTTGAGGTACAAAGCCGAAAGAGGACAGGCGCTTCTTCTCTCACCTCGCAGAGCGAGCGCGAATCACAAGTGTTCGCACGCACGCGCACGCAGCAATTAAGACCACGCCTACATTTCGGCGATCAAGCAACGTAGGAAACCACATAGCTACGCGCGCCCCTGCTTGGAAGAGGGAGGTGGGTCGACGGTATATAGTGTCACATCATAGTGTGTTAGCTATACCACCACGTCCGTGTGCTCAAATGTGTGTGTGATACAATTCACAGGACATCTCTAGTTGCAATCCTTGTGGCTACTGAGTTCTCCAGAGATGAAATGGCACACTCTTCTTTGGATATCTTGTACACCTGAGCACAATAATTAGGAAATACAGAACATAGGATAAGGCAGCAGTACCTTTTTGATTGCATCTGCATCATTCATCTCTGCAATGTTTTCTAGTGACACGACTTCTCCATTTATTATTCCCAAGACACCATTCACCTTAGGACAGTAACCACCCACATTGGCACACAAACATAAAAAACTTTTGATGAACCACACCTTGGCGTTACGTACTGGATCTGAAATCAGTAAAACCACCAACACATCGGTGCAGTCATCACTGATTCCAAAGTTCTTGAATGAATCTGATATCTGAGGGACAATGAACCGTTAGTAATGAATAAATCTTCCAACTGTAATGGAGGTCATAGACTATTTTGCAGATCAATACACATGTGCTGGTCACTATAGTCCAGTCAAGGGGTTGATTTTCACAAAGCCAACTTTTTTTAGCTTACTCATAACAACTGACATTAGTAGAGGACGAGAGATTGTAGATAACCTCAGAGTAGATGTTCTTAGTCTTCATCTGATTGTCAGCTCGTTTCATCACCGCTTTGTTGACTGCCGTCAGGACATGAAACTCGCTGCATAACTGCAAAAAAGCATACGCACGCGCGAAATAATAACGCATGCGCGGTGTGTGTAGGCGCGCGGTTATAAGAACGATCGACTCACCAGCCTGGGGTTGAGCAGCGCCGCCTCAATAAGACCAGCCGAGGCTTGGCTTCTGAGATGGGTACAGTTGGTGACGTTCTTCACTAGAGCTAGGGTGGCGAAACGCTCTTCGCCTTCCGGACTTTGGGGAATCGGGTAGGTTCGAGCGAGCGCGTGAGCCGCCATTATAATCGCAGCAATATTTATGCGCATGAGCGCTTAGGCATTAATTAAAATAAGCGCGTGTGTACGTTACAGCACAAAATAGTTCTGTAGCTAGAACAGCGAGTGTGGAGAAGGTCCACCATACATCAGGTCCCAGGAAGGTGGGGGATGCCAGGCTGCAAAGTGTGCAGAACACTAAGTGCATAATCATTGCATGGTTGATTATCATTTACCTTTCTTGTCTTTCAGGATTGACTGCAAAGAAACAAATGTGTAGTATTTTGTAACTTCATATAGAGAATTATGTAGAAGTAGATATGATGGGCCACAAAAATGAGGGACTCAATAATAATTAGGCGGAAACCATAGAAATAGGGCCACATACCACACAACCAGAGCAATGGGTATATAGGAAAATAACTTGAAACAGAAATGATGGATCAATGTTGGAACAGAGAGTATAATGTATGTACACTTACAGAGGAGTCTCTGAGGTGAAGCCAGGAGTCAAGAGAGGTGGCCAGCTGGAGAGCCTCCTTCACGTTGTCTCCCTGGTAGGAGAACAGGACCAGAACCACCATTGGAACACCCTCACTGGACCTGCACGTGACAGTGATAATGTGCGTTTTGTAGAAACCACATACTTTAATCATGCATGGTAGAAATCAATGGTGCTTCATGCACAGTGGCTTTATTAAGACACACCGAATGAGATTAATCATGTTAGCCAGCGAGTGAGTGTTTGCTAACCATTTGAGATAGAGTTTCTTGGCCAGACCTGAGCCGGGGAAAAAGAGTTGAGATTTGTCCAATACCCCAGGTGTGCCATCTGTCTCTGTGGGAGATACAACTGCAGTTCATCTTTGGGTTGAGAAACAGCTAGATCAAATGAGGGAATGGGCAAAAATGTGCCTGCCTGCATGGTAAGTGAGATTTTGCCGAAGTGCCTCAGACTAAAATCTATACACAATCTTCTTAGCTAACAATCGCTCAGTGCTGGACTATAACGTATGGTGAAGCTACCAGACAAGCTATTTAACTACAACTATTATGTCTAGATGCAGTTTACCCTGAGAGGTGGTAGGAGCGGTGTTGCTACTGCTGCTGCTGCGAGGTTCCAGAGAAGACCAGTCGAGGTCCTCAGAGAGATGTGAGTGGAGAGAGGACGACACACTGGGAGACAAGACGTAGCGAAGTGGAGTCCTAAAAGGATACGTATAGCCATTTGTCAAATAAAAACACTGGCACAAAACTACATGTGCAGCAAAGGTGGTATTAACTGTCTGGTATTATGGCACTACATGCTACATGGTGGCAAATAAGTGGCCTTACACATGCATGCGCACCAAAAAAACAGCATTCCAGATGTATTGAAGTTGTCTAAAGTCCTAGGCTGTGATGATGTGAAATGGTTACATACCCTTGAATTTGAGAGTCTATTCTCTCGTGAGCATGAGAGCTGGTGAGTAGAACAGTGTCTGAGAACGAACTGGACTGAACCCACTGCAAGAAAGCATCACAGAACTCCCGACTCCTGCCCTGCAGTCGACAACAGGCACTAACACAACGTATGAAGAATACGTTTACCTTTGCAACTGGTGTCCTCATCTGAACAACGGTGATTTTTAGCTCTGAGCTGTGATAAACTGATAAAAGTAAACTCATTTACAGCTCAGTACGAGACCAGGCAATGGTGCTTGATTTCTGAGGCCTATAATTTTGAAGAAAGGTCTCTCTATCTGTGAAACTGTGAAACCGTTAACAGTAGGAGTGGTAAACAGAAATAATTATCTGTGTTAATCTTTACAGTATATACCTGAAAATTTGGTGCTGTAAGCTATAGTATAGACATGTATGTAGAATGTAACCATCAAAATCTGGACAGCAGCACACTACACAACACACATGGTCTTGGGGACCCAGTTGGAGGTGCTGACTGGAGCTCACCTTCAGCTGCAGTGTGGAGGAGACCAGAGGTGTGGGAGTAGGCTCCTGAGCCAGCCAGTGGGAGGAGAGAGGGATGGTGGAGATGTCCAGCTCTGGGTAGCCGTAGGGTGTTGATCAGGAGGTCCACGGCCAGCTGCCCCACGTTACCCACACTTATGCACGGCTGTAAGGAGACACACCCAGCTGATAGGGTATAGCCAGACAGTGCTAGTCGTTGATAGGGACTCACTAGTATGAGCCTTGATCCGGCAAAAGAGACGGACTGATCCTCCGCCGTGTGGCTGGGTGTAAACATTACGGTCACTCGTAGCATACACGCTTGGATTGCCGGTAGAGACAAGCAGTCGCAAGGGAGTGTATATATACTCGTGGCTGGTGCGCAATATTTGGAAAAAAAAGTGTGGGGGCGCGTAGGCGCTTTCTCAAAGTACGCATGCGTAGAGACACATGGTGCTGCGCACACTGCACAGCAAATTATTATAAAAATAAAGTGATTGATGACAGACTGAACAACAATAATTGAAGGCAAGGAAATCACAATATCTCTAGTTAGTGATAAACTTCCAGGCCATGTGGGTATTGATGAGGGTCCCAGCCAGGAGGACACCTAGCTGGAACACAAACCCAGTCTCCCACACAAAGCTTATCCAGCTCTGCCACAGCAGATAGTAAAACAACACTACTCTCTGGACTATGAACAGTAGAGAGGCACATTTCCCCCAGAACTCTGATAGGTGTCTGGAGAAAGAGTTTCCACAACCACTTGTAAAGTTTTCGAGTCCAATAAATACTGTGGTGAGTTCAGACCACACTACCCACAGAGCTACAGGGTAACCAGTGTTGCGAAGAACGACGGAAGTAAGTCCGACAAAGGCAACTGCATGGAATAGAACCATCTCTCCATAGATGTGCCAAAGATAAGACCATGCTGGTGTATTGCTATATCTAGCGCTGGTGAGAGAGACGACCAGAATCTCCACAGCAATGTAGCCGCAGACGCTACCCAGTACACAGTCGGCCAGGAAACCGTCACCACTAGCTCTGCCTCCCCTCACCAGGAACCTCTCCTCTAACTGGTAGAGAGCCCACGAACTGAGGACGCTGGCTATGACGGCGTTGGCAAAGTTTGCGACGTCCAGAGCTTTGTTGAGAGCCACAAGCCTCTTCTGCCAACCCATGTAGCCTCCCTGGTCCTTCATCCAGGCAAAGGCAAGCGCCACCGCGGCTCCATAGCTCAATGTTGACACCGCGAAGGCCAGTAGAAAGTCGTCTACCATAGTCAAGCTGCAGAGTACGGCTAGCTGATTATATCGCAGGGCGTGGCTCGTTTTCATCCTGGTCACACGCACGCATGCGCAAAAACAACGATACTGCAAGTAAAAGACTGCAAAACACTAATTACTGCACAATTATTATACAGCTGGTTGTAAAAGAAAATAAAGTCAGAGGGTGAGTGAAACCGCACAAAAATACCAGAAAATATGAAGCTGAGAAAATGAGAAATTTCTAGTTAAAAACCCATGGGAGGGGCTACATAGTCGAGCCCACTGGGTCAACACAAGAGTCAGTGTAAAGTTGTACTATTGTAGCAGCAGCAGTAGAGTCAGTGTCAGGTAGCAGGAGCTCTGGGGACATAGGATATGACCTCCTCGTAGATGTACTCTGCACCCAGAGGGATAGTGAATAATATAACAACTTCGCTTCATCACTCGGCCTTCCTCGCTGTGTATACTTAGCTTATTGTGCATGAGTTAGATACAGCTACGTAACATAGGTAGTCGCTACTTATTGCTGCACAATTTCCAGTTAAAAACTAGATGAAACAGACAGTTTAATTCTATGGCACTAACGAAAGGAGTGACTAACTTACAGGGAGCAGTGCCCCAGCACTCAGCTAGGTGTGTCACTGGTAATTATTATTCCAACCATAGATGACATTGTAACTTACTCTTCCATTCCGCTAGGGACACATTCTTCTCATCCATGGAGTGGTCATACTGCTGTGGAGGAGGCTGCGTGTGTATGTGTGTGCGCGTGAGTGTGAGTGTGTGGGTTTGTGTGGAAAGAGAGAGAACGAGGTATTAGCTTCATATATCCCTGCATACTGAGAAAAAAAGCTGTCATTTGTACATATATACATGGCTTGTTTTTCCTGCCCAGCTGGGTGGGATTTGAACCCACTCACTTAACAAACTCAGCTGGCGTACAAGTGTGATCAGTCACACAGTAAGCTCTTACTTGTATATATGAAAAGCACTGAAGTGCAAACCCTCGGCGTATTATGACGCGCACGCGTAAGTAAACGCATGCGCCGTACCACTAATTGATGGGCTGGGTTTAGTTTTAGCTGTACTCGTGGTCTCTTGCCAGCTCGCGCAGAGTCTGACGCGGGCTAACTACACTACTAGATAGCATGCGAGAGGCGATACACGCCCTGCGCTGCATCTTCTGGTGCCTCCGAGGTACGCAGAGCACGCGGATCGATCATGCCGCAGTAAGCCGTTGTGTATTTGCATATTGGCTTTTTCGCGCTCCAGCTTTGCAACGGAGCGTTTTCAGCGAAATCCGTTCGAAATTTCTGACCTTCATTGCCCGTTCAGTAGGTGGTATCCTTTGTGAGACGAACGAACACTCGAGAAGTGAGATGACGAGTAACAGACAGACACACACACAAACCCAACTACCGTAACCCTCGCTGTGCATGTGCGCCGAGGGTTAATAATTATAACTGTGCAGAACAAACCTATTGTGCATTGCTCACCGCGTTGACTTCGGAGGGGTCGAACCAGATGTTGACGTAGGGATGGTTGAGAGCTCCGTCTACTGTGATCCTCTTGGATGGATCAATCTGGAGCATCTTGGAGAGGAGGTCCCGACCTTGCTTGACTGTTCGTGAGAGAGAGAGAGAGAGAGAGAGAGAGAGAGAGAGAGAGAGAGAGTGAGGATGAAGCACATTTGACCATTTAATTATACACGGGTGATCGTGTTGCATGCATTGCTCACTTATAACATATCTCATGTAGTATATATGCGCCGAATTACACTCAGCACGACTGAGAAACCAGTGGTGAGAGTGTGCATTACACAGAAGCTCCATAAACTAAGTCTTACTCCTGATCTTGTCCTCTGGGGTCTCATTGGGGAAGGAGTCATCGGGAAACAGCTCCAGCCATGTCTTCCCCGGAAACCTCTGCTGAGTCTCACAGTACATCCGAACCTAGCGGACATAATACATACGTACAATGTACTGTTGATCATCTGTGGTGTGTGTATATTATCTTGTTCACAATGAGTTGTTAGGCACAGTGACAAGGTCCGAGAAAATACTCCTAAGTTTGATTCTCCGGATTCCGGATTGTTTTTTGTTTACTTTCCTCTTACTTTCTGCAAATTTCTACTCATAAGCTAGCTTGTCATAGCAAGCTCACGACAAGCACAATCTGGCGATATACAAGACCATTAAGTACATAGATGCTCTGTGGTAGACGGAGATAGTGTACTAAAAATAGCGCAGAAGTGTTTAATAATAGTAACACAACTGTGGGATTACTGACTCACCGAGGGCTGTAGTTGTCTGAAGAACTCTTTAGGAGGAGTGCCCAGCACCTGACACACCTTGTTCCACTGGTCTATGTCTGGTCACATCGGTCAGGGAACACTCTTATATCATACATTACTACAGTGGCAAACTGGTATATAACAATGTTCATATGTATGTTGTATGTACATGGTCCTCCAGAGGAGCTCCTCCGATGCCCCTTGGAAAAATGTCCCCACCCACAAACTTTTGCAGAGGAAATCTTTGCGAATGGCTCTGTTTTTTTCTCCCTATAGTTTCCAGCTACACTGGACACGACACATAAAAAGCCTCGCAGCCAAGTATAAGTAAACTCGTAGTCGAGTCATTCAAATTGTGACCTGCTCTCTCTCTCATAAATGTACTACATAAAGCTTTAGCTGAATACTGTTTATCAAGCACAGTGTAGCTATAGTGCAAACAAGTGCATCCAAACACAAACATGAACGCACTGAAGACATCAAACGGTTTCATGGAAACCCACATACACAAACATGCAATCAGCCACGTAATATCTGTGCATAAAGGAGGCCTGAGCAAGGTCTGGGGAAACATTAACATGGACCAGAACCAACATCAACTTTCAGGGGCGTGTTAGAAAAACTTGTTAACCACCCACAAAATTATACACGTCTATAGAGTGGACAAGAAACGCATTACACAATGCACAATTGAATAGTGTGGGAGGTTCTGTGGGGGATACAGTCTCTGCCCTGCAGGAGGATCTCTCCTCTCACCATCTCTGCAAATATGCAGCCAACGGCCCAGATATCCACTGGGGAAAGACAAACACACATACATAGCATACAATGCAGTAAAGAGTGCTGTTAGAACTCTCAACTTTTGGGCGGTAATCACGACCTTTTCCTAATGCTCATCAAAAGAGAGTTTGTGGCATACAACAGAGGCATTGTCAACATGCAGTAACACACACATAAAGCGGTGGCATAACAACTCTATGCATTTGTGGATGCTGTATATATATATATGATATACACTGCTCATACTAGCAAGTACACACACACACACACACACACACACTCTCACCATTTTCCTTGTATTTCATTCCCACAATAACCTCGGGGGCTCTGTAATAACGAGTCACTACATACGGCGTCATCTGAAACATCTGGTCGGCCGTTCGTGCAAGCCCAAAGTCCAGGATCTGAGCATCAGAGATATACACACAGGAGCATTGTGTACATGTCATACAGGGTCCAGGCAAACAACACAACTACATATACACCCAGGACAACTATTTTTCCAAGGGCTGCCCTGGAGCCTGGGACACTCTAGGCTAGTGCTCTACCAGCTGAGCTATGTACCAGGCAAATCTACAGCACAAGACAAAGGCAAACCTCAAAAGACTGTGGTATAATATGCAGCACAGTATACTCTCACTCGGGATGTCGAAACAAACTGGGGTAACATGCACACCTCATGCTCAAATGATTTGCAGAGTTCAGAACACAAAACGTGGTGCTCTCTGTGCACACATGCTTGGCTGGACAGCTCTGGATTTTAGCAAATGTGTGTCTTTTCTTGCCTTAGAGGTTAGCCAAAACTCCCTCTTTCAACAAGACAGGGACACTTTTGTTCACATAATTATACCTTTTAGGCAGCCAGCCTTCACACTCACTCACTTGGCACGCAAAGCCACTGAATTTTGCATTCAAATAACCCATCCCTACTGCTGCTTATACACATGACGGTGAAGTGCAATACACACGTTATATATATATACGTACCTTGAGTGAGCAGTCCTCTTTTACCACAATATTGCTAGGTTTCAGATCCTGAAATAGAAGGTTACGCAAGAACAAACGGTCTTACATGTACATACTTACGTACTATATATTACACAAAATGTAAATGCAGTATTGGAGAGCTAGCAAACGTATGTATATGAGTCCAATTCTTCAGTGTCTAACGTGCATGTAAACATTGGGGGTATGAAATTTCAGTCGTTTCATAATACAAATCTTGATTTAGTTAAAGCGTTACGGTAATTCTGTAACCACTAGACCGCAGTACCGTAACACAATACAGGAGTGAATGTGTGTGTAGCAGTGGATCGGGGGTAGTAAGTAGTAAAGCATGCAGCTCGACTTACTCTGTGGATGATTCCAGCAATGTGCAGGTGCTGTGGTATCACATGTGTATACATAGGAAACAAGCAGTACAAATTACATCAACTAACATAATTTACATACACAAAAGCATAATCAAGACAATAATACATGATTGTTCATGCACCTACAATGAATGTACGTATGTATATACGTACAGAGAATGTAGTATGCACAGCACAATACAGTGGAACCTCCGAACAAGGGACACTATATGGGCCCAAGGATTTTGTCCCTTGTAGAGAGAGGCCGTCCCTATCTCTAATAATACACTAAAGTATTAGCATGGGGTTGAAACAAGTGTCCATTGTAGAGAGGTCGTCCCTATCTCGGAGGTTCCCTTATTGGAGGTTACACAAACAGTAGCAGTTGCATGGTGCAACCTTGATTCCACAGAGCAGCTGGTAGAGGAGGTAAGACATGCGGTCGTGGTCCAACTCTATACCAATGACACGACACAAGTTTGCATCCATCAGCTGCATGACTATGTAGCTGAGGTGAGAGGGAAAGGGGGGAGGGTGGAAAACAGGGACAGAGAACACTGCATAATACGCATACTAAAACAGACATGGAAAGCACTAGCCCTATTCCTTGCCCCGTCCACGTTATCGCACGTGTAAAAACTAGAAAAGCAAGGCACAACAAACTAGTCAACGACACCCAGGACACGAAGGAAAGAATACAGTCAGGTTTATGAGACTGGGAGAGCGCATTTGGAATCTCATTGCACGGCGGATATCCAGGTTACAAATGGTACAGTACAGTGTGGTGGACACATCATCAAAGTGTGTGTCAATATGATGGGATATGACTCACACATCTTGGAAATCTTCGATACTAGAGGCTGGAGTGAACAGATTCAGTAGCCCTATGATCTGGAGATATATTGGAGGGAGAAAGAGGATGGAGGGAGAGGTGAGAGAAGGAGAGGGACAGAAAAACAAATTTAGAAAAAAGCACAGTTCAGTTGCTTACACTTTCAACATGCAAAGAACAAACACACGCGCCTGAACTACACACAGCACCTTGCCAAAGCTTGTTACACACAGTGGATCTGTATGGGTAAGTTCTTCATGTAGGAATGGCAGCATTACAAATTGCTCAAAGACAGCTTCCAGGAATGCTTGGAATCCCACCCTAGCTGATCACAACACACACAAGCGGGAGCACACACACACACACACACACACACAGGAGTCCTTCATGTCTCTCCAGACAAATTGTAGTAGCATTGTAGTAACTCTCCTCTAGCACTATTTCTTGGAAACTGTTAACACAATTAGTGGCTGATACTCCCCATGCATCATTGCATGGTGATACATTCAAAAACAGACCAAAGCAGAACTTATAAGTACATGTTGGATAATGGACTGCTGGCATAAGAGATCCCCCCATAGGCTTCATTGTAAAATACACCACAGGCCCACTTCCTTCAGCATGTCAAACATACAAACACACAGTAACGATGGCCGTAACAGAAAAATTTCCCAAAAAGCACGGCAGGGGTCAGAGTCCTTTGGGAATAGTACAGAAAACGGCCTTCGACCACAGAAACAACTTTGGCTCCAACAGTTTCACTACAACCGGCCACCAGGTATATACCCACCCTCCCCCTCCACTATTTTCAATCACCACCCTTACAACATGCACAGTACGTAGTGTGGTATATACATACCCAATAGTAAAAACAATGTGTGCCCTGATAGCATTCTCCACCCACACATCCCCATACATACATGACTCAGTACAAAGAGAAGGGAAGAAAGCGTAATAAGTATATACACTCCCCACACCCGTAACTTGTAGAAAAACTGCCTGAACTATTCAGTATATCCAGCAAAACACCCTATGTAGTATGGAGGTGTGTAAAGCGCAATACACACGCACACCTATTTCAAAGCAGTGAAACTAGTGATAAAGAAGGCATGTTTTACACATAGATACAGTCTGAGATTCCAGGGAATAATAGTAGTGGTCACCATCAAAGGAGGATGTAAAAACTGGTGTCCACATTATTTCAGCCACCCACACTACACATTGTACACAGAGGAATAGAGAATCCCATCATTCACAACTCAATCTAGCTACTATGCATGCAGTATACACTACCTGCAGCTTCTAAAAATAGCAGAGTGGTTTGTACAGGTGTGCAAGCACCATTTTTTCACTGGGATAGCTCCTATGATGTATACTCAGCTTAGGCTGTACAGCATTATGCATCACTCTTGGGGATTGCTGAACACTGCCAGTGGGAAGATCAGAGGGCCACACGTGAATTCTAGTTCACACCCACCTATTAGTGGGAGGTGGAAACTTCACCATCAGATACAATATTACCTCCGACCTTTACACAGTTTGTACACTGTAAGAATTCTGAAGCCACAAACACACTGCTTGCACTCAGTGTATGCTGTATACACATACATGAATCTATGATATCTCCTCAACTAAAAAACAAAGCACACAGCGCAACATTATACGTATAAACACACATTTCTCAAATTATTCAAGCCAGCGGCTCATTATTACGCTGCACTCCACTCCTGGCATTGTGAAGTTGACCAGCCAATAAAGACAGCTGAGCAGCAAGACGAGAGCCAAGTCACCCCAAATAAAACCACTTTAACCACACAAGTGGATGGACACAAAGAGAGTTACACATTCTATGATGTTTATACAGCTGCCCATTATGGGGTGCCATCCGTTCCAAAAGTCCCAGTGTTAGGTTTTATGCATATAGACGTGTCACTTTCTATATAGACTGGTCTAAAAACATATGGACTGGTTTATATATATACAGCACGTCCGATATATATATCAGCACGTGTATATGCAAATTTATCCGCTTATTTACTTATAATCTTCTCTCATCTACAGATTTCGAAAAAGCTGCTTGCAACAATGGCGCCATCTGTTCCTAAGGTCCCAACTTGTCGATAAGAGTATATTCTGTCGCGTTTGCGTATAATCTACTGCGCATGCGCGTACCAGAAAGCGCGCGTAACACGATGTCTGTCGCAGGTGAAAGAAGATTATAAGTAAATAAGCGGATAAATTTGCATATACACGTGCTGATATATATATCGGACGTGCTGTATATATATAAACCAGTCCATATGTTTTTAGACCAGTCTATATAGAAAGTGACACGTCTATATACATAAAACCTAACACTGGGACTTTTGGAACGGATGGCACCCCATAGCCCATATGCTCAGTACATAATCAAGCACTCTCGCTGATAAAGTAAGAAAGGTACAGAGTAGCTTTGTTTTATGAAATGTAACTTGAGAAACGGGTATTATTTGCACGAAACTTCTTTTGTGCCACAAAATCGCACCACGTATACATCTGTTGCACATGTGTACAACCATAGGTCTACATTCTAAACATACTTTCTGTCCAGGAAACCTCTACTAATGGGACAGAATAAAGTCAGGATTGAAAGATTTGATTTCATCAGTGCCATTATCAGCGAAGGGTCCCTAATTATATGCAAGATACTGGGATAGAAGGTGTCGTTATAAGAGAGGCGTCTTAGTTTCAGGAAAAGGGGTTTCCACTGTATATAGTGGGCTGTACATTACACTAACATTCTTGTGGTGGACCATCTTCATCAGACGGAGCTCTCGAAAGGCTCTTTTGGCATACGTCTCGTTCTGGAATGGTTTGACGAGTTTCTTGATTGCCACTTTCTCTCCCGTTTGATTGTCCAGTGCAGAACTATATGGAAGAGAGGGAGAGAGAAATAGCAGGGAAGAGAGCAGAGAGGGGGGTAGGGGAGAGAGAGAGTCAGGGTTGAGAGGAAGAGGGAGAGAAGGACAAAATATGACAAGGAAGCTGCACTGGGACCTAGGCCACACTCAGTAAAACAAATCCTGCTTTTGAGGCAAAGTATGAATCACAGCAAGCTACGTAGAGTAACCTCAAGTCTTGGCTAAAAAGCCAAAAAGGCAGCATTCGAAGGAAGTAGTAGGAAATTCAAAACCTGTTGGGCCTGGCCCCCACTATCTCTCATACACTACTGTACTACATAAGGCAGACGTGAGACAGTCTCCAGCTTTATGACAACGGGAAAAGGCTCTCTATAGGAGGTAAATGCTGCACATTCCAATGTCCAACCATGTGAGTGTGGGTGTGTTAACAGGTGTGTCCTGTCAGAAACCGTGAAAATCTGGACTGTAAATTTCTTGGTAAAACTGACACATTCCTGCATTCACTGTATATGTACCTGCCTTTGCACATCCAACACTACACAAAAACTACATAAGCCTTGTTGTCTCAAAATAATCTTGCAGCCAAGTGCATCATTAGTGACAATTGAAGCTCAGTTCATGCACGTCCACTTGCCTCTTTGTCAATGTAAAACCCCACAGGAGGTGCATGCTTAGCTACAGCTCAGTGGACATAGCAGCAAGCATCTTTACCTGCCTTTGCACACCCAACACTACACAAAAACTACATCGGCCTTGTTGTACATCCACTTTCCCCAGCTGAGCTACACACAGACTCACCACACTACCCCTTGAGCGCCACTGCCGATGTTGGCCAGGTCCGTGTAGCGATTCAGCACGGTGAACATAGTGTCCCCGACCTTTATGGAGTGGAAGTTTGCGCCCGAAGACATCGTGTCGGCCGACTCTGCCACTGGCGCAGCTGTAGCTCTGACGTACTTCTTGATGGATCCGGCGTCGACCAACGAGCTGGAAGGTCTAGTTCGCTTGCTGGTTTCCTGCCCCGTGGTGCTACTTCTCTCGTCGAGTTTCCGCTGACGGTTTCAGCAGTAAAATGCCGCTTGCTTTTGTGAAGTGTCAAATTTCTCCCCGCGCGCTCTGCGGCATGCATGCACCGGGAGGAAACCACACCCATAAAACAACGTGTGGGGGCGGGGTAATGGGATAAAGTGAAGAGTTCTCCATCATGGTTCCCTCCATCATAGAATTGGTCTACTCTCCATTTCACTCCTCTGTTTTGCAGGGAGAAGTCTGCAGTCATGCTGGCACCGGCTGCTGGTACAGAGCTGGTGACTTGAAAGGGCTGGTACCGAGATTTCTACTCTTTGGTATGTATATATAAAACATTATTCAAAAGCGTTTCATACAAAATACTAAAATCATTGTCCTTGCTTCAAAAAAGGAGTACATAACCTAGGACAGCTAGCAACAGAATAATGATCATGATCATCTCCCAATTCTTGTTGCGAGGTCGAGGGGTGTCGCCGCTGCCATTCGGGGTAACCGTTCTCGGTGGGTTCATTTCAGCTGGACCTAAAAAAGGTAGACTGAACCCATGAGTGAGCAAGAATAACACATACAACCCACAATACTCATTTGGTCATGGATACACTGTGTGTGCCCATTTCAGGGTGAGCCATACAATGTCTATATACACATACCACATTTCCTAGACCAGAGACTATACACAATTCACAGTACAGTAGTATAATGAATTGCAATATATTATGCACTCTACTTACCACCTAGCCGATGCCTCAGAGTAGTGTCAGTTGGCGGAGAATCATCCTGAACCACCCCATCATTTCTCGGTCGTTTCTCAGAGTTAGTATCATCTGGTGGACTAGTGGGTGGAGGGGAAGGATTTGTTTCCTGGGTTCCTGTGGGTAACAAAGATAGTCCACGATAAGATACTACAACTGCACGTGAGGAGAGGTTTATATTGTTGCCATAAGTCCCATCATGTGATTTCAATGTTCAAACCGTTAAGTTTCCTACTAGCTGCAAGTCAATTTCGTTTGCCTAGCTAAGTAAAATAATATAGAGTAGCTATATATAAGGGTGGGTGTACATGCAAACTCATGAGGGTCTTTTCAGGAGGATACTTTGTGTGTATGATGCACTCTGCTAAGTGTATTTTAACCCTCTGTGGGCAAGTACAGACTCCCGTATGCTATCTAGTAGTGTAGCCAGCCCGTGACAGACTCTCAGCCGAGCTAGAGACCATGAATATCAATTAGCAGTACCATACCACACATGTGTGTAATTACAGGCCAATATGCGAGGGTTAATTTGCACTTTAGTGACAAATGTCCTGCATACTATATTATATGCAATATTGAACCATCCCCACTCAAGCATTGGGTGTGGTCTGATGGATAAAGACTCACACACTAGATCCTGAGGTCAGCGGTTCGATCCCTGACTCAATGGTTCTTTTTTATAATGATGTAATGGAGTGTTTGTATAAGAGGAACGTTTTTTCTTCACCTCTCGTGGCCAGCCCGAGTGGCTAAGTGGTTAGAGACGTGGGGACTGACACATAAGGTGCCCGGTTCGAATCCCGGACCCGCACTGAAACTGTCAGGTGGTCCAGAGCATTGGCTGGGAACAGCTCTGGTTCCTCCCCTTACCCATGAATCTACCACTGACCCACATACATCTCAAAGGACAGCGTACAGTTTGGCATTGCACTGCGTCCATAGACGTCTGTCTGGAGAGATGTAAGGGTGGCTTTTTAGAAATTCCTTTTTTGCCTAACACAATCCATATAAGTTCAAATGGTGCAGAACATTCAGCTGTATTTTTTCATGCATGATCAGTGTTATTTTTGCATATGTAAGAAACCTCTCAACATACGTAACTCTTTTTTTCTTCTCTAATTTTCTTTTTATGGCCATGTTTTTACAACTCTTGGGATTGCCCATTACCTATTTTTGGTACGCAAGTTGCCCTATGTACATTCTGCTTTTGTAACAGTGTCAGAAAAAGTAGTGCCACAATACTATATACCCCTCTTCATGTTGAGTTTTTGCGTAATAGTGACTATAGCGATGAACATTATCCACTTTCAAGTGCTTCCATTAACCCTTGGTGCACATACTGCGAAGGTTAAAGTACAAGAGAGTAAATTGACAACCCATAGCCAAGCCTATGATTTAGCGGTGTGTATAGGTTTGACATTATTTCTTGTGCTGGAGGGTCTGCAATTTAGTGCTTATCAGATTGCAGTTGAGTGTCCATACCAGTGTCAGGGGGAGCAGTTGAATGGACCTCATGTGGCTCCAATGTGTGTGATCCTAGAGAAGGCCTCACTTCTGGAGGTTCTTGACAACTTGATGCTGCTTCTTGCTGCAGAGCAGACAGCTCTTGCTGCACAGGACCGGGCTGAGAAGAAGCAGTCACCAATGCCTCGTCAATTTCTGATAAAAAGGCTGAGATCTTTAACGAATAAACCATGGTTCACGTACTTACCAAACTTCTCCATGATGGTCCTTGCAAGGCGTTTCTCTCCCATGGCACGCAGAGCTGCCACCACCTGCAGCCAGGAGGGCTCCTCGGTCTGTTGGAGGTAGAGGGTGAACACGTCAGAGAGCTGAGCGTCGTGGTCCGTGGGATGGTCCTTTTGAACTATATTCAGATAGCTCTCATTCAAATTTAGATTCAGCCCCAGATTGTATGGGTTGTCGACTCTGACTAGCTGAACCAGGTCCCTTTTTGTCGGCGGAGGAAGTTGACGAGAGCCTGAAAAGACAGTGGTAGTGTATAGCTAGCTAAATTAGCTATACTGTATATATACATACATCGGAGATTAGAAGTTGAAGACTGAGGTGAAGTCTGGGGTGGATTAAGGGGTGGTGGATTAGGAGGCGGTGCATTCATGGCTGCAAAGTTTCCACCCAGCTCCTCGCACAGCACCTGTAGTGTCTCTATGGCCCCTGCCTCATACAGACACTCTGCCAGCTTGCGATAGGTGGCCCAGGGTCCGTTTCTCTCCAGCCACTTGTCCAACAGAGCTATCCTGATGCCAGCATTAAAAAAAAGCAAAACACCCATCATCTCTAGACGACGCCACGCAAACTGAAAGCGAAAGCGTGAGTTGAAAAATAGAGCTAGGCCAACCCTTGAATTATCAAGAAAAATAAGACTCCTAACCTATGGTGGCACTTTTTAACTTACTTCTGCAACTCAAGGTTACGATTGTCGTATTCGATGCCGTCTATGTCGTTTTTTATGTTGGGGAGGAACCGGGCAAGAATCTTCCAGTTCCCGATGCTTTTGGCGATCTTAACTCGGCTTCTCCTGTTTTCCAGCTTCTCGTCCAGTCGACAGCGATTGGCCGCCGGAATACACTTCAACACTACTTCAAGAGGAGGCAGATCGTCCATGTTCCGTCGGAACGCCGCTCTATGAGGACCCCGCCTCTTTCTGGGGCACCGCTCCTCTGCTGATGCGGGGCTCTGCATGCGTTACCGCGTGTATTATAGCTAACTTGTTAAATAACAAGATCAAAATGCCTTGTACACATTTAAAAAAAGTTATTCAGCATTGTTTATTTCGGGAGAGTGTGAGAGTGCCTCTCTAAGACCTTTCTCAATCCGTCCAAGTTGGATATCGTGCAAACCCTGTAGCAGCCTCTCCCAGGTGACCTGAACACCTCGGTCTATCCACGTCTGGAGAATATCCCTGCAGATGTCTGATGGAGTTCCGTGGCTGTTCTGTAAACCCTTGAGTATGGGTGGGTCGATGCCCAGCTCTGTACCCAAGTCCTGGCAGTTGTTCTGGACTTCGCTGATGAGACGAAACGATTTTTTCTTTCCTTTAGAGTCAGTGTACGTTATTAGGGAGAGGAACTTTACTGTTGGCTCCTTTGGTAGCCAATCTTCGTATTCTCCTATTAAAGCAATATTATTGTTTATTCATACAATGGGGTCCCCTTGTTCTAACCTGGAGTGAGAGTAGGATGAACTGGTTTGGTGTTCATGGGGCTAGACTTTGTAACTGGATCTGGAGATGTTGGGGTTTTTTGTGGAATATCTGCAATTCCGAGAATTTGTGTGGAATTGCATGCCTGGCTATCAAAAACAATGTGTACCTCTGACAGGAGACATAGGGTGGAACTGTTCATCTCTCACAAACATCACTGTGACCACTATTGCTCCTGCAACTAGAACGCTGCACACAAGAAGCACTTTTAGAGAGCAGCACCCAAGTTGTGGAGTTAGGTTTCCCGTGTCTGTTGTTGTTTTTTGTCCATTTACGGGCCCTATGTGATGCAAAATGTCAAAGGGTAGCTAGACTTTGTATGTGAAAACTCACCAGAGTGCCTTTCTTTATGAATGTGCCGTCTAGTTAATGATGGACTCTCTCTTTGGACCAGGTGACAATCAGTGGGTGTAACCTCATAGATATCTGTAGAGAAGCATCTCAACACATTATCAGTCACAACAGACTATTAATTTTACGTACGGAACTTATCCATTATAGTCCTTGCAAGGTGGTTTTCTCCCATGCACGCAGAGCTGCAACCACCTGCAGCCAGGAGGGCTCCTCTGTCTGTTGGAGGTAGAGGGTGAACACACCCAAGAGTTGTTTTTGATGGTCAGTAGGATGGTTTTGTTGCACTAGTTGTATATCGTGTGAGTCCACGTTTAGTTCTAACCCCAGACGGAACAGATCAGTAACTCGGACAAGGTTCAAGAGATCCTTCAGCGTCGGTTCTTTGAGCGAACCAGCGGCTAGAAACAAGATGGCTAGCTTTTATAAAACAGTGACATTTTGTCAATAGCAGACCTTGGAGTGTAGCTTGTGAATCCATTCCGGCTCAATGCTAGGTACGTGTGTCTAGCTTGGGAGAAGAGAGTTCCGCCCCGCTCACGCGCGCGACAAGAGACCGGAGAACGCGTAGAGCATGCGCAGAGAGATTTGTGCATTGCTACGCCTGTAGTATAATGATGGCTGCCAGAGAGCTTCGAGTAGAAGAAAAATACGTTCTAAAGAAAAAAGTCTGGGGGTTGGCCGACGGAGAACAGAGGGGCTATGGCGCCTACGGAATCGTACGGACCGTGTCCGTCAACGGAACGACGTGCATCGCTAAACGCATCCACGACATCCTGCAAGACCCCCGCGTTCCTCCGGCCGACCGCGAGTCCGTGAGGCTCAGGTTTATGAAGGAGTGCAAGATGCTGAGCGAGCTCCGCCACCCGAACATCGTCCACTTTGTCGGCGTCCATTACGACAAACGAAACTACATCTCACTCGTCATGGAGGCGTTGGACTCGGACTTGCGCGGGTTTTTCCAACGCAGCGAGCCTGATCTTTCCATAAAGCTAGGCATCCTACGAGATGTCTCGTACGGTCTCCTCCACCTCCACTCCCGTCAGCCGTCCATCATCCACCGGGACCTCAACCCCGGGAACATACTCCTCACGAGAACCCTACAAGCCAAGATTGCAGATCTCGGGGTCTCCAGCTACCTCACTCCTTCGAAGATGCAGACAATGGCGCCTGGGGCCTGGGACTACATGCCACCAGAGGCTCTCCTTGAGAATCCTCAATACGATACCTCGCTGGACATCTTCTCATTCGGGCATGTGACTCTATGTGTTGGTACCCATTCTGTGGTCAATATCCCCATTCCCTGCGCCAACCCCGGAGGTATCCGAGCTTGGGGTCAGTTGTCAATAAAACGAAGACGAGAGTATCTTAACTCTATCGGTCAAAAGCACTGTTTACATTCGCTGGCAGTTGAGTGTCTGCACGACTCCCCCGCACAAACGACCAAGTGCACGAGACCTGTGTGACAAACTGCAGTGGATGTGCACTGCTAATCGGGCATGCGATGACACCACAAGTGAAAAGAGACGAGAGAGTGCTGCAATATCCTCCCAGGTAAATAACAAACCGTTGTACACAATGGTAAATCCCCTCATTTCCTGTTGTCGTAGCCAAAATTATGAAGTATATAGTGGCCACTTCCTTTAACTGCAGTCTGCAAATTCCTTTTCAGAATGAAACAACGGAGGACACCCACACAGGGAGTAATAGTAACCCCACACATTTTCCTTCTAGCAAAGACTCACAAGACTTCTCCACTTTCATGTCATCCAATGGAGATGAGCAGAGACTCTTCACTAGCAGTGGGGAAGGCAGGGGAATCAGATGGCACCGAGCATGAAACAGTTAGCTTGCTGAAGAAGAGGATTGCTGAGCTGACGGCAGAGAAAGAGGAATTGAAGGAAATAGCAGAAGCTCAAAAAGCACAGGTAAACTACACACATGCATCCTTTTTGTTATGAAACCAATTTCTGGTTGGTTCGTGTTGTGTCATAGCGGGACTCTTTTTCTCTGCATAAGTATACACATATCTCATATGTAAAAGATGAAAGAGTCCCATCTTATGCATTGTTTTTTTCCATATGACTTGAAAGCTAAACTCTCTCTAATGTGCTTTTGCTGTAGGCTCAGGTGTACAAGACTGACTTTGACATAGAGCGCAGTGACCGTGTGAAGGCTCACAACACGATCGAGGACTACAAGTTCCAGTTGGAAAAGCTGCAGCGGAAGTTTGCCGAGCTGGAGGAGAAACGCATGCACACACAAGCAGAGCTGCATGTGTTCAAGGCGGCCAATGTCCGCCTACTCAAAAGCCAGCTTGGTCCACTGCCTGCAATTAACCACCCACACCCAGGGAACCCCCCAGCTATACCTCCCAAGGTACATATAATTATACATACGTACAGAAAAAGTAGTATATTGTATAATGAGTGAGCCTGGAAGCCAGTAAAACTGTAATAGACACCAGCAACATAGTAGTGGTGAAGGCATGCAAGATAAAGTTGTAATTATGTACTGTAAGTTATATAGCTTAGTCTTGCAGATGCTGCTAATCAACCACCATGCATTAAGGCACATGTGCCATTACAGTCGCATAACCAAGCTCCAGCCGAAGCAGTGACATTATAGCAGCATCCACCAAACTACATAGTTTTAACACAGATCCACAACAATATTCTCCCTTGCAAGACCTATATACAACCTACATCTATAAACCCTTGCATGCATGACTGCAATGTAAGAATGTGTCATGAATCTTATTAAACTCTGTGCTTCCTTGTCAATCTAGAGTATATGAGTGTATTTGCCTAATGATGTGTGTAAAATACTAACCATACTCTCTCAGAGTCAGAACGCATACAGAGAAGGACTACCAGGATACCAGCCACGACTCCCAGTCCAACACGTGCCAGGCAGAGCAGACTATCCCACTGATAAACCCCATCATCACTACGAGAAGATCCCTCTGTGACTCCATACCTAAACAACTCTATTGTTATAAAACTGCTGTGTGTTGAAATGATTGTGCTTAGCACACTGAAAAAGAAGAAAACTAACCACCATTACCCTCCCACGGGCCTCCTGCCAAACGAACACGGTCGTATCGTACGTACGTACGTCGTATGTAGCGCGCTACGCTTCGAAGTGCGCATGCGCAAATAATAAACATTGCGAACTCAGCAGCTTTCTCTGAGTGAAGCCTCGAAAGGCGGCAGAAGGGGACACCAGGAGACAAGGGGCTTCGTGAGTGGGGTAGTCGGACATATCAGACGTGAGTCTAACTGTCAGGATTCTAAACTACACGTGGGACCGCACTTTATCTCACTGGCGCGTGTGTAGGTGCGTCTGTACACTCGTACTCTGCCATCGCTAGCATTTGGTGTGGCTAACAACCTTCTACTCATAAGGACATGGCGGAGGCACAACTACAGAAGCTAAAGCAAGAGCTGGAAACTGTAAGGCATGAGTTCTACCAGTTCCAAATGAGAGCTGATGCGGAGAAGAAGTCTGTGGAGCGCCAACTGGCCAAGGCTAAGCAAGACATCAGTACCATCCAGGTCCACTCTAAATCCCAGAGTCAGCGGGTGCAAGCCTTACAAGACACTGTACAGGTATACTTTGGGCAGTGAACCCATCGTGGGTATTGTAGAGGGAGTGGCCCATTTTTATCCTAGTGTGTATATACCAGAGTTTTGACAATGTGTAAAGTGGCTCATCTGCTCATCAGCTCATCTGGGAGTAAGAGAGATTGTCTGTAGACTAATTAAGTGGTGGCTGAGTGACAGTGTTGTAGTGTACTTGCACACCAACCAAATGTGATTAACATTCATAATACAAGGGGTGCCCTCAAGAACCATGAAGACAGTTTAACAATTATAATTATTGTACAGCATGTTTGTTGGTCATGCACTGGTGGTGCAGCTGCAGAATGTTGTTTCTATGGCGAAATACAAATCACAATACAAATCGCAATGTCTGTGTACATAGCTGTGTACTTGGCTACATCTCCAGTGTCAAACAGGATATTATACTGCGACATGGGAAGTGGTGCATAAATGGCCCCTGTGTAGGAGGAGTATTGTTTAGACTAAAATTACAATAGAGATCCTCTTTGGCACTTTCACTGTGCATTCTGTCAGAATACTTTAGAAAAATGTTGCGAGCAATTCACAACTTCACTGTTGTTGTTGCAGGATAAGGACCACCGTCTGGCAAGTCTAAAGAAGGAAAACGTACACACACAACAGTTTGTTGAGGAGCAGCAGGGAATAATTGCCCAACAGCAGAGAGATATCGAGGCCCTCAGGAATGAGAAAAAGGAGCTACTCAGTGATGTGGATGCTGCTAGAGCCACCGTGAGTATAATAAAAGCTAACTATTTTGTGCTGACTAAAATGCAACGATGCCTGTACTGTATTAATTAATCATTAGCTGATGTTGCTAGCTCTAGTGGAGGATTTGATATGCTTGTGCATTAAAACTGCCATACTGTAGCGAAAAACAAATCTTTGTAGCCTGTGATCAAGTTTAGTTATTGCCAACTTTGGCCAACGTAGCTATAGGAATCCCAAAAATAATTTACTCCCTATGCTCTATAGGCTGCCTGTTACCAGGAGGACTTTGAAAGAGAACGGAGTGATAGAGCCAAGGCTGCAGGGAAGATAGACTCTCTGGAGAGAACTGCAGTGGAGAGTGCTCGCAGTCTGGCCGACAAGTTTCAGGATGAATCCTCTCACTTGCGGGGGAAGCTGGAGCAGGCATGGAGGATCTTAAGGTGAAGACTGCTCAGATCAAGAACTACAAGAAGCAGGTGGACGGTCTGCAAGCAGATCTAAAGAAGTCCCAGCAGACTGTTGAATCTTTACTGAGAGACCAAGAGGAAGTGGTAAGGTTCATTATAATAGCTGTGTAACTCACTATTGTACATAACTAGGAAAGCAGTGCAATTGAGTATTCATTTCTTTACTAGAACAAGAGACACCAGAACGAGGTGGAACGGCTCAAGCTAGAGTTGAAAGAGGCTAAACAACGCATCAAATCGCTGCAGGAGGAAGATGAAATGGTACTGAATGGTAGTGAAAATCAGTTCAGGAAACAGTAGAGGTTGCTATTCAGTGTGTTAGTCACTTTATTCACCAATGTCTGGCCAAAAGCCATTTACTCTACATATCATTGTACTGGCGTTTTTTTGGTAGCATTGTAGTATGTTTTATTCTATGTATATAGGTGATGGTCGAATCTGTTCCATTAGCTGACTCAACTGATGCAGACTCTGCCCCTAAATCCTCAAAGATAAAGTTTTTTGGAAAGAAGTTTTCGAAGACAAAGGAAGAGCAGGCCCGGGCCAAAGCAGAGGAAAAGGGCAGAATGAAGGCAAAGAAACTGGAGCGAGAGAAGACAATGAGAGAGACAAAGAGAAGGCGAAAGGTAGACATGGAAAAGATGGACGAAGCAAAGTTGAAGGAATATCTTGGAAGCCAAATAAACCGTCTTGAACGTGATAACATGGTGAGTAGTTATTACTCCTGCATTTTGCAAGGGCCCACTGTGAAATATACTAACAAGGTATTATGTTTCAGACACTACGGAACCAGATGGAGTGTTTGGAGGCCACGTCCCAGTGTTTAGTGGAGAAATTGAACCAAACTGAAGCATCGGTAAACACATTATTGCCATTGTCTTTTGTTAATACCAAACATTTGTGTGTACAAGGTTGTGAAGGGTACTAGGACGACATCGTCTGCCACTCGAAATGTCTATGAACAAGTTCCTTCAGCTGAGAGCAGGAAACGCAGCAAAGGACAGGTCTGTCATAGCTCAGCAAATGTGAAGTTTCTTGGGTTATGGGACTTGCATATGTCTGTGTATGTAAAAACAAGGCATTTGTCTTTTTGACTCTCGTGTACAAGATGTGCGGTGGGGCATAGTCACCATTGACTTGCACACAAACCCCAGACAGACTGGCCCATACTATGCCTATTCAAAGTGACTGTTTTGGCATAGCTATATACACGGTCACAACTCTTCTTCAGTACCTTTTTAAATTTACTTTACAGGCCGGGGAATCGAAACACAGAGGGAGTTCCAAATCATCTGCCAAGCATCCTCCGCCTTCTTACACCCAGGACCTCAGTGCCCACGAGGGTGTCCACGAACGTATCCAGCGTAGGAAATCGTTCACCGATGCTAACACAGAGTCAAATCTGGACATCAAAGGTCCAAGACCGTTCACTAGTGACCCTCGACTGTACTCCAAAAATGAAGACTATGTCAATTTGCCACCTGGTACCTCCAAATCCAGACCAAAGGTTCTGTCCCCAGTGGAAACACCTCGCTCAAAGAAGAGCCCCATACCAACTCCACGTTCTGTTAGTGTTGACCCAGGCAGAAGAGGAGGTGGTGGAGGTGGACTAGCTGCTCCAGACCCACATCAACAGAGCCTTAGCATGCCTCCCATGCCAGTGAAAAGAGAAGAGGATGAAGAGGATATCTCTCACGGGCTTGAAGATGACATTCACAGCAGGGCCCGGGAGGTTGTGGAGACAGGGAGTGACGAACCGACATACGCACTCACTTCCATACCATTCGACCCGTTTCTGGAGTGCCTCTACTGCAACCGAAAGTTCAGATACGGAGAAATTCAGAAGTACCGCAAGCATGTTAATAACTGTACAGGGAGTAGTGCAGTTTAGATGATGTTCTTTTATCTATGCGCATGCACGCGCAGGCGGGAGCAGGCATGAGGCCGATGCCGGCCGCGGCCGAGCGAGCGAAGCTAGCTACGTACGTAGCTCTCTTTGGGCAAGCTGAGCGAGCTATATATATGCACTGCAAGCGTTGTCCTTCCTAGCTTGGCGGGGTTTTCTCTGGGGTGATAACAGTTACTGTAACTTGCGCGAGGGGTCCGACACGGGTGGATATCTCGTATATACGCAGAAATCTGTAGAAATCAAGTTGGAAAATCAAGCGCCGTGCGCGCGCTGTCCCCGGCGCCGGCGCGCGGCCGCCGCTCAACTGCATTAATTAGAGAGTAAGGTGGTAGTAAGGTGTTGCGGCGACCCAGTATAATTATACCGCCCGATAAAGTGTGCGCGCCCGATAGTGTGCGCACACGATCCGGGTTTTGCAAAACCACCAGGGTAGGGCTTTGCTTGCTCGACCTTGGCCTAGGCATAGGTTTGCTCGGTGGAAATGCCAGGATACCAGCCAGAGAGGCATGAAAAATAGGAGGGAATAAGAAATTCCGTTGGGACTCCTATTATACTACCTAGCCGGCCTACCACGCACAACTTGCACCTCACGTGATGAACGGAGCCTTGATCGAGAAGAGTATATCTGAGAATAAGAATGACCACACCACTAACAGTTTTACCTTACAGGCACTGAAGTGAGATTGTTTCTGTAGCCGGCTATAATTTGCTCAATGGCGTGTGCATTTCTCGTGTGCGCCGCCGACAGTATTTTGGGCCTTAGTGTTCTGTGGCGCATGACTACTCTTCGTGCCACTAAGGGAACTCCTCTTTAGGGAGTGTACAGTTATAGAAACTCATACAAATCTAGAAATCACTGGAAATCAGTAGAAATCACACAGAAATCTGGAAATCGCTTGAAATCTCGGAACTGTAAATCAGTTGAAATCACGTGGAAATCTGGAAATCAGTAGAAATCAGTTGGAAATCTTGACGTCATACGCCCGTGTCGGACCCCTCGAACTTGCGCATGCCTGCCTGCACGATTTCACATGTCCCGCCCCTGATCTGCACTCCCAAAAAGATGGCCGGCAAATCTAATATCGGAGATCTCGTCTTGAAACACCCTGAGCTAGCGTTGTTTGTAATCCCAGACGTCGACGTGAGGCCTACGGGTAAAATAATCGGAGCTGGGGCCTATGGAAGTGTCGTGGAGGTTGCGATACCTGGTGCCATGTGCGCCGCCAAGCAAATCCACGGCTTCTTCCACGCGGAAGGAGTGAACAAAACTGGGGCACGCGAAAACGTCTCACCTGAGTTCATCAAGGAGTGCAAAATGATGAGCAATCTTCGCCATCCGCACATAGTCCAGTTCCTAGGAATATGTATTCTTCCTGTCTTGGGAACACCGACACCGTTTATGGTCATGGAAAGCATGGTCACTAGCCTTCATGACTTCCTGGAGCCAGCGATTGAAAACCAGCCTTCTCGTGAGTCCCCTAAGCCATGTAGCCCTATTCCACTGAGTATGAAACGTTCAATTCTGCACGATGTGGCAAGCGGTTTGACCTATCTCCACAAGCAGTCCATCATTCATCGAGATTTGTCTGCCAGGAATATTCTCCTGAATTCAGGGATGGTTGCAAAGATAGCAGACCTGGGCATGGCTCGCACTTTCGCTCTCAAAGGAACAGCAGCATTAATGACAAAGGCGCCAGGGGCCAATGTGTACATGCCTCCTGAGGCCCTGGAGAGCTCTCGAGGGGAACCTATAGGCAGAAAGCCATGTACAACTCAAGTATAGACATATTTTCCTTTGGAGTTTTGTCAATTTTTACATTGAGTCAGACCTTCCCCTGTGACCTGCTCTCTCCCAAGTATCAGAAGGACAGCAAACTTATTACTCGAACAGAACTAGAAAGACGTGACGAATACATGCAAATAATCTACTGTCAGTTCCCCAAAACCCACCCTCTCATTCTCATGATAGAGAGGTGTTTGAATTTCCCTGAAAAACGACCTAGCATTCATGCCATACGGGATATGCTCAAAAAAGAGGAAAAAGACAAGTCTGTCTCAATGAATCCATTGGAACTGTACCGAGCTCTTGAGGCTCCGCAGACAAAGAAGGTAAATAAAATAGTGTTAAACCCTCTTTGCGCGTAACCATGCTACAGATTTGTTTTGTATATATAGGGCCATACTTTGAGTTGTAGCTACATTCCGCAAGGCTATATAGAGTGCATTTGGAGCATAATCAATTCCTGGCCTTCATGGTTACATGCAGTACACGTAGTGAAGGGAGTTAATGTGTCAAACCATTAACCGATAGTCTTCATGCCCTTGGAGGATGAGCATCAGCATCAGATCACTGAGCTGGAGCAAAAGCTGCAGGGTGTTGCCGAGGAGAAGGCCTTTGAAAAACAAATGATGAATTTCCTTATGCCAGCCGTCTCAAAGTGCCTCATGCCGCACATCTGAAAATACTTCGCATTTGTAAATTTGAGGCTAAATATCTGGCCTCAGATGGAAACATTGGACTACATTATTAACCTGGTTGGCCTATATTCAGATATCTGCCCTTGTACATCTCAACCAAAAGCAGTGATTAAAATTTGTTGTACAATCCTCCCCTATACCTAAATCCCACGTCTCCTTGCCTTTCAGGTTTCATAGTAAACTCTGCATTCTGAGCTTGTGCATGTGGTCTCACATGTCATAGGCACTAAAACTGCCTGCTTATCAATCTCTGCTGTTTGTGCACACTGGTTGTAGTTATCATAGTGGAATACCACGAGATACAGCTGCAGTATAATAGTGAACTCATAAACTGTGATATTTTACATTATGGATTTTGTTGTCCTGCTTATCATGTGCAGGACTCTTCAAAGCCTTATGCACAAACTGATGATTAGGGGATATGATAAGATTGTTACGCAGACGTCCATACAATTAGTCCTCCTCAAAGCAATGTAATCTATGTTGTTGTCATGGATGCTTCTATCGAGATGCAAAATGCAATTGATGTAATCTTTTAAGCATTCATCAAGGGGATGGAGCGCAAAGTAAAACTGCATGCAGATGCTCGTGATTACTCACAAAATTCTATACACCACTTGTGTAACTCAGTTCATTCCCCTGTTCTGGCTAGCATCAGGCCTCTACTGAAAGTGACAAAAGTGCATACCAGCATGTTGCTATAGAATACCAAATGCGACAAAAACAGAGCGCTCGTTGCGATCACCGATTTTATCTATTTATGTTCATCGATTCGATTACCATTTCCCGATTTTCGATTATCGATTCGTGTTCTTCAATTATCGATTGCTGTTTTTCAAATCGTAACGCTCAATGCAATGTGTGAGTTTTGAGACCACGGGAATTCATAGTCTCATACCCAGACCCCGCCCTCAGGAGAGGAATCTTTTCGGTAAGGCAATCGAATTGTTTAACGTCACGTACAGCATGTGACTATGTACAGCCATGCTCCGTGCATGCTGCGTATTCGCGAGCGTACCCAAACCTACTTGCGTGTGGTTATGTGATGACCACAAGGCTGATTTGGCACAACCAAGATCCTCCTTTTTAGAGGGCGGGGTCTGGGTACGAGACTAGCTTGCATCACGAACCGTGAATCGAAAAATATTGGATCAATAAAATGTGTCAGGAATCGATTATGAAAAAAAAAAGAATCGATAATCGAAAATCTGGAATCGCAACGAGTGCTTTATTTTTGTCGCATTTGGCATTCCATATGTTGCAGAAAAGTAACTTTGAATCTTATTTCCTAATATAAACAAGTCTGGGTTTCATTCTATTAGTAGCCCAAATACCCAAACAGCTTTTCCCATGGTTATACCACACATAGAAGCTTCTTATGCGCATCTGAGAGAAACATATGCCCCGCAGAACTAAGGCTCTTGTGTAGCTTACCAGTAATTTTGTGGTTGATCAGTGAGGGGGACAATAAACCGAGAAATATGTTATGGTACACATTATAATATTACGGAGGTCTTACACAGATTTCACAGGATCTGCTGCAGGCAAGTTTTACTAGGCTTTTCTTCCCCCCTTGACTAAGTAATGTCTAGGCACTGTGCTAAATCAAATTTTTTGCCTAGAAATGTGTGGTGCTCTCCTCTTTTTGCGTCCAGGAAAGAGATGCAAAGACTGCTGAACAACGTTTGGCTCTTGAAGAGAAAGTTAATGTCCTTGAGGTATGTAGCCAATTTTTATGTAACATCTGCTAAGATTTCGTATGTACATAGGCTGAAAGGGAGAGAAAGGATGAAGAACTCCAGTTGATGAAAGAACAAGTGAAAGCACTGACCACTGAAAATGTGTCACTATCAGAGAAACTGCGCCAGTTTCAAAGCAAAAGCAATAAAGCTGCAAAACAAACAGAGGAACTGAAGAAAGTCGCGGCAGAAAGAGATGAGCTTAAATTTCTCCTTGAGGCTACACAAGCCCAGGTATGTGAGGGTGTATTGTGTATGTGACTTAGTGGGGAACGATGAACGTGACATTCAGGCAAAGATGTATGAGGAGGACTTCAAGACAGAGCGAGAGGATAGGGCGAGAGCATTTTCAGAGAGAGAGAAGGAAGGAGAGAGATATCGAGAGGGAATTGAGCATCTCCAGATACAACTCAATATCTCCACGGAAACGCAGAAGGAATTAATGAAGGCCATGGATGACCTGGTTCAGGCCAAAACCTCCGAAGTTGAAACGTACAAAAAGCAACAAGATGAACTATTGGCCAAGGTTAGTGGGGCAAAAAATATTATGTGATCCAGCAGGGCAATAACTTGTAGCTAAAAATAATATGACAGGATATGCATACTATATCAGTGTATTTAACCCTCATGCAGTGCAGATCCATAGCAATACTGTCTGTCTGTCTCTATGTGTGTCGACGGCTATTTTGGCACTACAGGCTACTAGTAAGCGGCATATGAGCGATACCAGTTTTCGTACTTTAAGAAAGCAAGTGGGGTGAAGGACAGGAAAACCTATCATCCTTATTCTGAATACCTTAGCTGGAGAGTGCAGTGCAAATAATCCTAGAAGTGACTGTGGAATATAAATGGCCTAAGAAATCTAGTAGGGGAAAGCATAGACCAACTACATTCGTAAATGCATTGACAATAGCTGGAGAGTGCAGTGCAATCCTAGGTATAATAGTGACTTCGAAAATTTAGGTGACCTTAACGTTCGTAATTTTACCAAACAAATGGGACAAAGGACAGGCAAACCCAACATCCTGAATACCTTGACAATAGCTGGAGAGTGCAGTGCAAATAATCCTAGATATATAGTGATACTAAATTTTGCGTACTTTTAGAAAGCTATTAGGGGAAGAGACAGGCCAACTAACCTTCCTGGATACATTTCCGATAGCTCGAGAGTGCAGTACAATTAATAATCAATTAGACTGACTTTGAACAAGGTGGCCTTAACGTTCATACTTTTAAAGCAAGTCAGGCATGAAGAACAGGCAAACCTACATTATCCTGAATACCTTGACATAGCTGGAGAGTGCAATATTACGAGGTGACTGTGGAAAAGGTGACCTAAATGTTCCAACTTGAATCCATAGTTTTTCTCATTCAGGTTTCAACTCTTGAAAGTGAGATCAAAGAATGTGCAAAAAAGCAGGGAGGTGCAAGACAGGAGAGAGTGATGACAAGAGGGAAATCAAAGAGCTCACAGGTGAGTGATAGTAATCATCTTAAGATTATACACCTTACGTTTTATATAAAACAGGAAGAAGGTAAGGACGCAGACCATGTGCATGGTGACTTGGAAAAGCACTACAAGGCAAAATCCAAAGCAAGGAAAGCCGAGGTGGGTACACTTGATAGGTTTGGCGTAAGAATAAGAACAGCTTTTTTCCTTTCATTTTGCAGTTGATAAGGATTGTAGCAGCGCATGGCAAAGCAAGACAGGAATTGTTGGAGGTGAAGAAGGAGAAAGAGAAAACTGGCACTAAAGTGAGCGGTGACAGTCCTGTTGCCAGCTCTGAGCTAAATGAGCTCTGCAGATATCTCAAGAATGAAAACGAGGTGGGTTGGCAAATCCTGTTTCATGTAGCTACCATACTTACCTGAATAGGGAGATTACTTTCAGGCCAAAATTCAATGGAGCTTGGCCTACTGGACTTTAATCCATGCATTTGTCAGTCCACACATAGTCAAACTACATTATGGATGGGTGGATGATTGCATATTATACTATTTATCAAAGATTGAACATTTTTGTCTTTGTCATTAACACAATAATTACTTTGTGTGATACTTTGCTATGGTGCGAGTACTATTACTGTTATGTTATAGGAGCTCAAGGATCAGATAAGTGCTGTGATGAACACGAATCAGCACCTACATCGCTGTATATCAGCTCTAGCAGAGAATGACAATGGAGGTTCCAGTGAACAGGTTATTCTATATCCCATCTCATGCCCAGACATTTTACCCACTGTGGAAAGGAGTGTCGATAACATTCCTACACTTTCCCTGGTCCTAGTATGTAGCTACCCACTGTTTTTAAGTTTTATTCACACTCAGACTGCAGTAGCTTCAATGTACACTCGAAGATTCTGCCTTGGTCCCAGGGAACGCTTCTGAATACAGAATACATGACACTGCAGTAGCTAAATGCAGCTATGAGGCTAAACACAAACAGGTGCTTTATCACGAGCCTTTATTTCCCAGGAGTGTAGCGTTATCTATTACGCTTTGCTGGCTGGGTTGAAATCATGTTCAGCAGACAATAAATTCTTAGCAGGACCTTTCTATCACCTTACACAAGATTAGCCGTTGATTAGTGACACGATCTGATGATATTTCGACCAAAAAATCTCAATTGTCTGGGTACGACACTATAATTATACGTAAATTTGATTTAGTCAGCAATAGAAATAAATCCACCCCTTCAGGAGCTCCCACATGATGAAACACTAGGTTCTGTCACCTCTGAAATGGTAAGCTATGTTGGGAAGGTTAGGAGGATGTGCCTTGTAATTTGATTCCTTATTGCCTACATTATCGTGAGGTTTGTGCTCCATGAGAGGTGCACATGGTAATGATGAACACGAGCCGTATGTGTTTGTATTACTTACATTGCTAGGATTTTTTCCTCTCTCTCAATCCCAGTCAACCATGCGCCTAGCTTCACCCAAGCAAACTCAGACAACTAGCCCTGCCCAGCCAACTGGAAAACACTACACCATACCAGGAGCTACTGCTAGTACTGTCAAGACCAACATACAACATGCTGACTATGTTAATCAGAGTCGAATCCAGGAGATGATAAACCAGCGCCAAATTAGTCCCACTGACAGGCGACGTTCTGACTGTGTAGCCCAAGGCCAAATGGAGGAGATCCATGCTGACAGCCAATGTGGTGACTATGCGAATATCTCTCAATTCACAGGTGTCTCATCCACAACCAAGTCAACCAGCAGTAGACCACGTTCAAGCACATTCTCTGGGACCCCTCTTTCTGCCCAACCCACCAGAGCACAATTCATTCCACGCTATCCTAATATAACACAAGCGACTGCTGCTACTCCAGACTATGTAAACCAGAGCACAATCCAGGAGATGATTGCCAAAAGTCAGCAGTCTAGTGCACTCTCTTCATCTCCACCTGATGTTAGCTCTCTTCCTGCTCCAATCATGATCTTCACTGAAGACTCTACTAACACAACGCCACCTGCTGTTCCAGGGAGTATGCCACCATCTGGTGCTAGTGGTGTAGGGAGTGTGGTTGGAGGTGGGTGTGGAGGGACAAGGGAGGGAGAGAAGAGGCAGCGCTCCAACCTGGGATGCCGAGGATTCCCGAGCACTACACGAGAGGCAACATGACCTGCAATTTAACCATCCTACCAATCTAACAAAAGTTCGACCTCTGCCCATACCCAAGGGGGATCAGTCAGCCGTACCACCAGCTAATTCCAGTGAAGGGGGAGGGCACGAAGTGACAGGGACTCTTTACGACCCAAACCTCACCTGCGTCATCTGTCAGAAGATGTTCAGGATTGGAGAGATACAGCGCTATCGTACTCACACTGAAAACTGTGTTGGAACTTTGGTTTAGATATCTTGTATATAGATTTCTGTTGGTGCAAGTTTTTCAACTGTGTTATCCAAGCTCTGGAAATTATTCTATGCTTTCTGTTACCTCAACCTGCAGAGAGTATATACTCAAAATGCATGTGTGGTTGCCTATATAGCAATGCAGTACATGATGTGACTGATTATCTTGTCTTGCAGAGCCAGCAGCCCCTCTCCTTCAGTGTGCCCTAAACATGTTATCAAGGTGATCATGTCATTATGACATCATACCTTTGAGGGTGATGTGGATTTTTCCGTGGGTTCTTTAGAGAAAGCAGACGGGCTCCGTGTAACTATCTCTTACTCAAACCGTGGAACACACATGAAGCCATGCCCTCTAATTTTTTGCGAACAGCATTGCACATGTGCATTTAACATCATGCAAATACTAGGCTGTGCTTCATGTATACATTATACACGTACTAAAACATGTAGGAATTCAGGAATGTGAAGAAGTGTGAATAATATTGAAGAAAGAACAAACTCTATTTCAGGCTGCGCTCCTTTGTTAACACATGTGATCACCTGCAGTGGATGCAGTAGTCTGTCACTGTTACTATACCTTGTCCCACCTTGGTGTCCAAAGGTAACAAAACAAACCCAAAATCTATTACAGGGGAACCTCTGATAATGGACCCTCCGAAGAGAGGACAACTTCCCAACAATAGACAAACTGACGATAGAAACAAGCCAACAAACCTTAGATAAGTGCACAATGATGTCGCATTGCCACATCTGCGATAGAAATGGATTATATATTATGTCCTCGTGGCGCAGCAACGTGGCATGGGGCGACGGGGACAATGCAACATATTGTGAACCTAGCCTTACTCTCTGTAATCTAAACTTTCCCCTTTAAAAGTTTTAGCGGTCACATCAGCCAGCAGTTGAAGGAACGTACTGCTGATGCGTTCTCAGACTCCAGGCCAAGGACTGGTGTATCTAGCTACACAGTATGTACAATTTCATGACATATTAGGGCCTGGCATAGGGATCTCCCACACGGGCTAGCTACATCAGTCGGAAGCATCATATGTGTGACTTCGAATGCCTTCAATGTGTCAAGATAGCATATTGGCTTGTTCACTACTATCTGCTTACCTATGCCATAGCTTCCTCAGTTTGTCTTTGGAGGGGAAGTTCCAATGTATATATGCTGGAAAAAGTACAGTCTTATTGGCAAGCAAACCGAGCCCATATTATATCTTCCGTGTATCCGATAACAGCCAGCTGCACATATTGTAAATGTTTTGTGTAACTGAAACAAAATTATTTTCACAGTATTGTGTAAGCCTCGTGTTTTTCAAACTGCCAGACCTGCAAACCACTGCTATATAGGTAGCTACACCTGTAAGTACTGTTTTTAAACTGTCACAATAATCTAAACTCTCTCCCGGTCTCCACAACCTCCAGGGCCCTGCTGTGAATGTCATCCTCAAGCCCGTGAGAGATATCCTCTTCATCCTCTTCTCCTTTCACTGGAATGGGAGGCATGCTAAGGCTCTGTTGATGTGGGTCTGGAGCAGCTAGTCCACCTCCACCTCCTCCTCTTCTGCTGGGGTCGACACTAACAGAACGTGGAGTTGGTATGGGGCCCTTGTTTGAGGGAAGTTTCTCCACAGGTGACAGGGCCATTGGTCTGGATATGGAGGAACCAGGTGGAAAATTGACATATTCTTGATTTGAATCCTGAAAAAAAGAAACACCGGGTGTAACGGCACTTTTAACAATTTTGGGGGAAGCGGGAGCAAGGCAACAATGGAATTTCACCTGCTGATCGGCAGCTGAAGAGTCTAGCCAGTTATTTGTGCAAATGTAACGTGCTGCGTCAAACATTTGTTACAATCGCGTACGACTGGTGAATTTTAATTCACCCAGCGTGTGGATGCGCACAAGGGGTTATGTGGTCAGTCTGCATTGTCGTCAGAACTAATGTCACCAGATCTCGAGATAATAGGTGCATGAGTGAGTTCGAAGGGCGGCCGAACTATTATAAACGGCAAAAAACTTGCTCCACTGTGCTTGGAATAAACAACATTGGCCACATCGAGCTACAAAATCTGTTGGCCATGCCCATCGATCAACGGGGGAGCACACAGCTACTGCGCTTTATGCGAATGCACCCAAATGACACTTCCATCAACACCTTTGCGTGCATCAACGACACTGCGAGAGCGACCTTCGCGTGGGTATAAAATCTACTAATCACGCACAATTTCAGCAGTGAGTTTGGTTTCAGAACGTGGGCATAAAACCATCCATACAAGTACGCACCCACTAAAGAACACAAACAAACTGTATATTGCGCAGGGTATTATTTCTGCACACCTTTCTTGTAAGAATGGAATGGTCTCCTAACTGAAACATCCTATGCAGAATTGATGCCCATGCAATATAGCTGAACATATTCACACAAAGTCATAAAATTGCTATGGTGGGTGCTATGCTCTCAAAGACCTCTCCTTTATTGTGCTTCTTGCTTTCAGTTAAGAAGAGATGTTATGAGCGTCGCTAGAAGCCAAAAATGATAAGCCGGTTCTCTGTCTATGAATATGCATTTACGCGGGGTCTCCCGCTAGTAGCCTACGGAGAATCTGACATTGTCTGTCTGACATAACATGCGTGAGTCGATACACTCCCTTTGTTGACTTTTTCTGCCTCCCAGGTACACGGAGCAAGCGGGTCACCGAGGTTAGCCAGTTTCATGACATTTATTATCTATGGAGTGCAGTGACTTTAGGAAAATCTCCATTTAACTTTTTAGGCTCGCGTAGTTCTGAAGCCGTTGGTATCGCTCATAGGCTGCTTTGTAGCCTGCAGTGCAAGAACAGCTGCAGGTAAACAAACAGACAGACACACAGACGAAGTACTGTAACCCTCGGTGTGCATGCGTGCCAAGGGAGAAGCTCCCACATGTATACCTGTACAGTGTCTTGTAAGGCTTGCACCCGCTGACTCTGGGATTTGCAGTGGCCCTGGATGGTACTCAGGTCATGCTTAGCCTTGGCCAGTTGGCGCTCCACAGACTTCTTCTCCGCATCAGCTCTCATTTGGAACTGGTAGAACTCATGCCTTAGAGTTTCCAGCTCTTGATTTAGCTTCTGTACCATCGCCTTGGATTAGTGAAAATTAAGTAAGTTAGCAACGACATAGATACATCATATCACATTACAACAGTGCAACTGGATGGAACGTGCCCCGTTATTACTAAACACGCATTACAACTTCCAAGTGTGCTTTAGAATTGAGACAACTAGGCTCACTTCTGATGTGTATTCTGCAGTTTTCTTCAGTGAATCCGTCTTCCCAGCAGCCTTTGCTCTCTCACTTGATTCCGTTTCACAGTCCCCCTTGTAGGAAGCTCCCTACAGAATGTCACATTGGTTTTTGCTATGATTTTAACAACTAAATGCCTGCATTTATGTCAAGGGATTTAAAACATACTTCAAACATTAGTAACCCGGCTTGCGCATGCGCGCCGAGGGGTTAATCAATGAGTCTGAAACTACAGATGAATGCATCAGATTTTTTGCAAGCCCGATGTGAGAGGCACAGTAATGAGGTATTTGTTCAGTATTAACTTACATGCGGACAGTGCTGTCGTGACGTCATCTCAAATTAGAAAATCTGCACATTCCTGAGTAACTATAGCTCCGTTCGCTTGGACATTTGCACTCGTTACCCTTCGGCGCGCATGCGCAGCGGAGGATTACTTTTAGTTGTCTTGGTTATTGGCTGTCCGCGACCCAAATTCGCTCTTCACAGCCATGAATCGCGCTCCACAAACAATACAACATAATTATTCAGCGTGGGATATATTAGGTCGAAATGTATGTGGGGTTTTCTCTGAAACTGCTGCGTTCGGGAGTTAAGCGTGAAAACAAGTGAAACGAGCCAATAGCAAATTTAGCAATAGCTTACCTCGAGGATACGCACTCTCTAGCACGGAGATGCGCTGTTTCTGTTCGTAACTTGGAGGCAGACCCAGGTTGCAATGTTGGGGTGTGTATCAATTTCGCATGTTATCTATAGTGTACACAGGGAAAGATAACACAATCACGGGTACCCGTTTTAACGATTATTACCGTCCGCCCCTACAGCCTTCAACGGAGCCCGCAGAAACCATTCACCGAAGCTTCGCGGTTACCCGCGGTTAGACAGGCGATTATGACGGCCCTCACCGCGGGTACCCGTGTTGGAGCACCTAAATAGGTCCGCTATTACCGCGTAAAATTGGTCCGCGCACTATCGCGATACCCG